CCATTCAGAACTGAAACTAAAATTTCTACCGCTAATACATTTTTTTACTTATTGAAGTACCATACAGAACTGAAACTAAAATTTCTACCGCTAATACATTTTTTTACTTATTGAAGCACCATTCAAAACTGAAGCAAATATTTCTACCGCTAATACATTTTTTTACTTATTGAAGTACCATACAGAACTGACTTAAACTAAAATTTCTACCGCTAATATAATTTTTTTACTTATTGAAGCACCATTCAAAACCGAAGCAAAAATTTCTACCGCTAATGAAAAATTTGTACCTACTGAATCACCATTCAGAAACGAAGCAAAAATTTCTACCGCTAATACAAAATTTAGGATTACAACTGCTTAAGCAAAGCTACGAATAAAAAATAAAATGTAAAAAAATATTTTACAACTCCCCACCATACTCGCGGCGTGTCACCGAGCAACGGCGTCGCTTTCTATCGCGTTTCGACGCTACGAACCAGATGTCGCTTACAAAACTCCCTGCATAATTAACACTTTTTATGCGCGTTTAATTTTTGTTAAATCATCAGTGTAAGTATCGCTTCTCGGCCCTAATGGCTAAGATCAAAGTGTAGTATCTGTTCTTATCAGCTTAATATCTGGTACGACCCGCATGCGGGTCCAGTATATTAATCTGATTTTTGTAAATGGATAGTAGGTAGGGGCTTGCTCCACTTCTATCACGGGTTGGCCCGGTATTGCAGTACCTCCGGGATCGGCCCACGTAATTAAATTAAAACAAAACATTAGTACCATAATTTAGAATAATTGGTAGCTCCAATTATTCGATCAGTGAAGAAACTGCTCAGAAAATGAGCTTCGAAGCTTCGAAATCTAAAAATGTTAAATTCGTTAACAAATTTGCTTGTTGAAGTATTCAGGTAGCAGGTAGTTAAAGTATTCCATTCGTAAAATTATGTTTTAACATTCATTTGTAGCCTCTAAAATATTTTATTTTCAAAGAATCCAAAATAAAATTATTTTAGTTTTGATTCACGTTAAGAAATTGATATTATTCAGTTTTTAAAATTGTTTTATCGCTTATCTGTGAGATAAGACAGTAAATAATTCATTTTTATATAGACAACTAATGTGTTGACCTTGACACCTTAAAAAAAATATTTTGATCTTAATAAATATTCGCTAGAGGTCACTTCTCTACTATAGACAATTAAAGTACTTTATTTTAATCTAAATAGTCTCTATATGATGTACTTAGCAAAATGTTTGTTTAATTACAACAATTAATTTGATCTTGTGTGTCTTTAATGTTGTAATTTATATTTAAACAAGTTTTCGATTAATTCTGAAACGCCATCTTATGAAAATTGTCATTGATACAAATATACGCTAGAGGTCGTCGCATAATATACGGCCATCTTGATTGTACGGTTAGATGATGCACGATTGAAGGATCATCAAATGATTCGGGTATCCGACGCTTCGTGGTTATGTGACTTTTGGGATGCCTGTAGTAAATTTAGAACTGTTTACTTATGTTGTATAACACGCCATAATCCCAAAGTGTAAAGTTGTATAACGTTACGATAAACGATGTAACTAAACGATTTACATATATTTATCACACAAATGTATTATATTTATTTATAAAACAATAAAATTACATTTATAAGGATAATAAAAATTAGTAAATTAATTACATTACTAATTCTAATAATATAACTATTATAAGTATAATGAAATAAATTAAAGAAAAACATTTATTACATAATATTATTAAAATTTACACATTATCTTCATAATTTATACTGAGTAATATTATAAGAAAATAAAATTCTACTAAAAATTCTGAAACGCCAGCTTATGAGAATTGTCATTGATACAAATATACGCTACGGCCATCTTTATCGAACGGTTCGATGATGCACGAGTGCTGGATCGTCAAACGATTCGGGTATCCGGAGCTTCAAGGTTGTGTGATATTTGGGTTGCCTATTGAAAACTTGTAATTCTTATTTGATCTATTATGTACTATGTACATGTACATGTCTTGTAGTTTTATATTATTAAATAATAATATTTTTATGAGAAAATTAAAAAGAACATTATATTTATTTTTAGTAATAAAAATTTATAAAATCTAATTTTATAACATTAATAAAAAAAATATCTGCAAAATATAAATGGATATTTATTGAAGAAATTAAAAAAAAATAACTCTTAGAAATTGTATAAGCTTTCTTCTCTTTCAATTGCAGCACTCAAAATTTTTAATTAATCCAATTTAGATTTCTGTGTTAATTAAGATTTTATTAGTTATATGAATATTAATTAAAAATAACGTTTACTGTTAACAATACTTTTATAAATGAAGTAAAAAAATATCTACACATATTGCATAAAAAATCTACTAATAAAATCTACAAAATCTACTCTTAAAAAGATTTTATAAGTGATATGAATATTTCTTAACAATTCTTAATACAGTATTTTATTGTAAAATTATTATTATTTATAGATTTTTAAACAATAATAATTGTTTTTCTTACCAATAATAAAAATTTTAATTATTGAAGTTTCAAAAATAAAACAATAATTTCTACTGCTAATACAAAATTTGATCTAAAAAATGTTTTACGAAATCTACGAACATAAATATTAAAAAAAAAACAACTCGTAATATATTATATACCTACCCTCGTTATCGACAGACCGTTAGCATGAACCTGTGGCCCCTCTTACCTCACCAAACCAGATGTCACCAACCAGTACCTCCGGGATCGGCCCACGTAAATAAACTTAAAAATAACGTCAGTGTTTCAATTTACTGCTTTTTCGAAGCTCAAGTTAATGGATGAGACGCTAAAACGCGTGAAAATGCCTTGTAGAGTTTTAAAATATAATATATTAAATTCGCTAACAATCTGCTGTTAGAATGTTTACTACTTATTTAAAATATTTGATTCTTAAAGAATGAGTTGTAAAAATATGTTCTAAAATATTTCATTTTCGATATAAAAATATTTTAGTTGTGATCCTCGCTAAGAAAAATATATTTTCCAGTTTTTAAAACTATTTTATCGCTTTTTCTATAGCAAATATCACGTTTTATTGAGATAAGTATATTTTTGACCTTAACTTATTGTAAATGTTCTTTATTTTAATAAATATTTTGTAGAGGTCGCTTTTGTAGCAATATGAATATTTTGTTTTAATCTAAATAATCGCTATAAAATAAGTGATATGATTCTATTGAAATGACTATTAGAAAAAAATAACGTGTTTTTAAATATTTATTCGTTTTTATAGTGGATTCATTATGAAACGCCGCCATCTTGGTAAAATTGTCATTTACAAAAATATACGTTAAATATACTTATATCAAGGGTTGACACTGTGTGGCAATAATTTTATGATTGTTCCACGCGATTACTTAAACATAAGAAATTATTGTTAATTTGGAGCATAAACTATTAATTAGTTGCTTACAATACTTTATTTGAGAGATTCTAAAATAAAATAATGATTTATGTAGATTAAAGTGGTAATACTTTTATTTCATGTGAACAGATAAAATATTTGATTCATGAATTTACTATACAATTGTAACATTGAAACGTGTTAAAAAAATATATTTCGATGTTTGAAAACTGAAATATATGTTTTTTCTGATATTATTTTATTAATTCAAACAAATATACACTAATTATATTTACACCCCTTTTAATTACTTAATTAAACGAGTATGTTTTCATTGAATTAATATTTTTTTGTTAATATATCATTTTATACCAATATATTTGAAATTTTGGAGAAAGAAATATCCTTCATATTGAATTTTACGGTAAGTGCTGCTAGAGTATCAAAATTCAATCTTAATTTGTCACTTATCAAAAAATCATTACCAATTGAAAAACTCTTTCAACTGCAGCATTAATTCCAGGGCAGCACAACGTTCATTTTTGAAATGGTTAAATATTTCCACCCATCTTTTATCAATTTCAACATGTTCATTTCTTTGTCTTCTAATTTCTTCAAAGCAACAATTGTCATCGATTTTAATGCCAGCTCAATTCATATATTGGAAATGTTATATTTATTTTTACTAGTTTGTTATATTCTTAATAAATATTTCTTTAAGAATATAGAAACAAAACTATAGCTATTAAACGACCATTTTGATTGTTGGTAGAAACCATTCCGACAATACAGGAGTTTTCTAACCGAAGCATCAATATTATGTGATACTTAAGTTGCCTATTATAAATTTACATTACACCTATACCTCGCTTTACGACCTAGATTGAACATTTATTGAATTATAATTATCTTTTAACTGTATCATATGCATATGTTTTGTTTTGCATTCTAAATAATTAGTAATGTTATTATTTTTCATTTATTATTAATATAATTAAATAATAATCAAAATTTATTGTATACATACAGAACATTTATAAAATAATATGACGTATTATTCTATTATTATGATTATATAATTACGTATTAATTTGTTATTTGTGACTGTTATAATAAATATTATTAATTTACAAAATATATTTATTATTTGATTAACTACTTTTAACTTTCTTATCCTTTTTCAAAAATTTCATTATTAATCTAATAGTAATCTTAACGATTAGATAAGAAATAATACACAAACAAAACATTATAAAAGATAAAAATGCAATTATATCAATATAGTAGTATTGATACAGTGGAATCGTATTTTCTGGTCCTTTGAGATGTTGAGTTTCTTTATTTCTAAGAACAAACTCCGTCCACCAAATAGCTTTTTCCATTCCTGTCATAGGTTCATCTTTAATGAGTTTGGCCCATTTAACAATATTATTTTTATATCTAAAATAAATTTGAATCAATTTTAATTATTGTACTTATATATGAATTATACTTGGGGTTAGTAATAACATCAACTACAGTATTTTTAAATCCTTCAGCTGTAATTTTATCGTGCTCCAAGAATACACCGACACCATTTTCTTCGGCGTTTAAAACGTTAAAGATTTGATCTCCAAAGAACGGCATTCCAATAAACGGAACTCTGTTGTGGATAGTTTCATCTAACGATTGTAAACCTCCCTGAGTAATGAATAGTTTAATATTTGGATGACCTTAAAGAGAAGAAAGTTATTATAAATTCATAATATTAATCAGTTGCTTACGTAATATATCTTGCTGAGGTGCCCATTGTACAATTTTAACATTCTCAGGTTTTCCTTCTAATTCAGTATCTTCGAATTTCCAAAGAATTTGATATTGAGGCATATTTCTGAAAGCTTCGAGTAGAACTTGCTTTGTTTTTAAAGATAAAGATTTGCTTTTTATGTTACTTCCTAAACTAAAGTAGATTGCTCCAGTTTTTGCGTTATCCAAAAATATTTGGATATTCTAAAATAAATTAAACGTGTTAATTGCATGATATTAAATTAATACTCACATTAGGTAGAGGCTTTGGTGGATTTATATGTATTCCTCCTCCAATGCTGATAGTTGATGGGGTTATAGGTCTGATGCCATGAATAACCGGATTAACGTTAATAAACATCATGTCAATTGTTAAGCCAAGCTCGTATAAATTTGGATAACCTTTACCGAAATATTTCTCAACCACTTCCGTTTCCATTGGAATATAAATGTAATGACCAAAGTAATTCATAAAGCCGGCAAATAGCACGGCAAAAATCCTTTGAAAGAAATGTAGGTTTCTAGAAAAAGGTAACGAAAAATCTGGATAAAGAATAGGATGTGTTGGGTTCCCAGTAGCTTCATGACCCCATAAGACGGCGTCCAAAGAACTCAAACCGATTGTTGGGCAGTTAAATCTGTGCTTGAAAGCTAACATCGAAGGCTGCATAAATTCTATCATAAGCAAATCAAAATGTTCCGTTTCATTTTTAATTAACGCCTGCACTTCTGGATGACTTAACTGCGCTTCGGCAATATCAGATATTAATTTAACCGTTGCATAAATTTTATTTATAACATTCCAATTTGACATTTCACTAGTCAAATTGAAATTTTCGATTAGCTTGTAGGAAAAATGTAAATCGATTTGTTTCAAGTTCGGTAGATCGGGTTCATCGATGGTATCCGCAGTTAAAATAACCAAATCATGACCTCGAGCTGCAAGTTCCCTCCAAATTGGTCTGTACACTATTTGGTGACTGTACGAAGCCATTGGGAATACTCCCAAAATTCGTGCTGCATAACTACTGCTTAATGTCAAAAACAACAGATACCAAGTTAGGCACATTTTCAATTATTTAATACACTGCTTAAATCTGTTAAGATGCACCTGACATATATTCAATATTTATCTAATCAATAATTGTACAAGATAAGCTATTTAATATCAGATCGTTTTTTTAATTGAGTCCACGCACATTCTAATTTTATCTACGCACATTTTGTTAATTGCGATTTCAATCACAAATTACAACATATGTATTTTATTATTTATTTCCAATAAAAAATACAATCATATGAATAATGAAACTATTATAACTAGCTTAAATAATATTATTTGACTTAATTATGTAGCTTTAGTTAAAAATAATTACGTAGTGCCACCTATAAATATAATAATAGGAGACCTATAGGAGATAATAGCTATGTTTATTACTGTAAAATTTGACACAATTGTGTTTGGTATTACAATTTAACGTTATAAAATTCTTTAAAAAATATACGTTGAGATTATTTTAACAACAAGATTTGATACCGCAATTTTTATTTTTTTCTTATACCATAAAGTGGTTTATTTTACTCTAGATTACATTTTTATTCATCTTTATATCTTTTAATATCATTTTTTTCTTAATATTTACAAAATAATACAAAATGTAATAATTATGAAGGTGATTTATTTAAATACAATAGTTTAGTTGTTTATGTACATTTTTTGTTTAACCAATCGCATTAGGCGTCGACACCAGTAAAATTTGTGTGAAATACAATAGTAGCTGGGCAACTTTAGCTTCAATTGAAGCAGCATGAGCATAGGTAGCAATTGGAGCGGTAGCTTGATGGATGTAGCTAGGTTTGACTGCTTCAACTGGTGAATAGTGAACTATTGGAGCACGAATTAATCCAGCATTGGCGCAAGTCAAAGGACTACGAACTTTATAACAATATAGAAAAAATAGTTGTTGGTGTGATAGATTGAGATAAACTGATGTCAATTGATTATTTCGATTTATTTAATTTATTAGTAAGTTTTCACTTTCTTTGTTGTTAAAAGGAATTTTTTGATAATTCGAATAATCTTTATAATAATTATGTATGAAATAATTACTATGCTTGTAAATACAAATATTAAAAATGAGATTACATCTAAATAGTAGTATTGGTACAAAGGAATCGTATGTTCTGGCCCTTTCAGATGTTGAGCTCCTTTATTTCTAAGGACAAATTCCGTCCACCAAATGGCTTTTTCCAAACTGGACATGGGTTCATCTTTAATGAGTTTATTCCATTTTATAATATTATTTTTATATCTAAAATAAAGTTGAAAATAATTTGAGCATTGCATTTAAATAAAATAATAATACTTAGGGTTGGTAATAACTTCAACTACTGTGTTTTTGAACTTATCAACGGTAATTTGATCGTGCTGCAAGTAGGCACAAAGTTCTTTTTCTTGAGCGTTTAAAATATTAAATATTTGATCTGCAAAGAAGGGCATTCCAATAAACGGAACTCCATTGTGGATAGTTTCATCTAATGATTGTAAGCCACCCTGAGTAATGAATAATTTAATATTCGGATGACCTTAAACAGAAGAAAATTTGTATTCATTCATAATCTTAATCATTTATTTACGTAATATATCTTGCTGAGGTGCCCATTGAACGATATTAACATTTTCCGGTTTTCCTTCTAATTCTGTATCTTCGAATTTCCAAAGAATCTGGTATTGAGGCATATTTTTAAAAGCTTCGAGCAGAATTTGTTTTGTCTGTAAAGAAATAGCGTTGCTTTTTATATTGCTACCCAAGCTAAAGTAGATTGCTCCAGTCTTTGCATTATCTAAGAATGTTTGGATATCCTAAAACAAATTTATAAAATAATGATATGTAATTTATAAAAATAAACCTCACTCGAGGTAAAGGCTTTGGTGGGTTCAAATGTATTCCTCCACCAATTGTAATAGTAGCTGGAGATAAAGGTCTTATGCCATGAATAATTGGATTCACATTGATAAATAACATATCAGTTGCTTGACCCAACTCGTATAAATCTGGGTATCCTTTTCCGAAGTATTTATCAACAAGTACTGATGCCAAAGGAATATAAAAATAGAGTATAATTTTCATAAATCCAGTGTAAAATATGGCCATAATTCGTTGAAAGAAATTCAAGTTTCTTCCAAACGGAAAAGTCAATTCTGGGTATAAAATTGGATGAGTCGGATTACCAACAGCTTCGTGGGCCATATTTATTGCATCCATAGATGTCAAACCAATTACGGAGCAGTTAAATCTATGCTTAAAAGCGAACATCGTTGAATCCATAAACTCAATCAACAGCAAATCAAAATGTTCCGTTTCATTTTTAATTATTGCTTGTACCTCAGGGTGACTTAAATGCACTTCAGAAGTATCCAAAATCCTTTTAGAAGTTACATATAATTTGTTTACGACATTCCAACTTGACATTATATTGGTAAAATTGTATTTCTCTTTTAAGAACTGGTAAACGTATTTTAAATCGATTTGTTTCAAATTTGGTAGATTTGGTTCATCGATGGGATCGGTAGTAATCACAACTAAATCATGTCCTCTGGTTGCAAGTTCTCTCCAAATTGGTCTGTATACTATTTGGTGACTGTATGAAGCTATTGGGAAAACTCCCAAAATTCGTGCAGCAAAGACATTGTTTGCAGTGAAGAGCAGCAAAAACCACGTTAAGCACATTTCAAATTATTTTTTTTTACTACTCATAGTAAACTTACTTACTTACTTAAATGTAAGTTAGGAAGCAAATATTCAAAATATTTATCTAATCAACAATCTAATCTGAGGCAATGTAATTTACGATAATTTATTAAGTGTGCTTTTCTATTTCTTATCAATATATTAGATAGTATAAATAACGTTATTATTTCAATTTCAAGATTATTGGTAGCTCAATTTAATTGATTAGCGAAGAAAAGTTGTGATTTTATAATAAATCATATACTTGAGGTTGTCTCTGTAATACAGAATTTATCATTATTGCTTTATGCCAGCTTAATTCATATATTGGAATTATTACATTTAGTTACTAGTTTGTTATATTCTTAATAAATATTTTTTTAGGAACATAGAAACAAAACATATTTTTGCCAACCTATCAGTGATCACACAATGGATTTAAACCTTTCACCTGTCGTATTAAATTTTATGATATAGACGACTATAGTCATAGTATAGCTACAGTAGTCGTGTATCCCAGTGGTCCCCAACCCCCGGTCCGCGGATCAAATGTTTTTTTTTACATTTTATTTACTATGGTGTATTTCTCTCAGGATTGTGTGGCTTCCCATGGACGAGAAGTTATTTATGTTTTTATTACCATAATCCCGACAATCAAATTCCCGACTATATCGAAACTATATCGAAAGGTAGCTACTGGAGCGAAGGTTTTGCCGACAAGTGGATTAACTACTAGTGCAGCATGAGCGTAGGAGAAAGCATCGTTGGTGATGCGGGTGTCGTATTTACGGATGGTGGAGAAAGCACTATCTTCCATTTTTGAGTAATGAAACACAGCTTGAGTTCCTTCCAAAGATCGGATAGCGTAGATAGCTACTGCAGCGGCATGGGTGTAGGTGGCTACTGGAGCAGCGAAGGTCTTAGCAACAATTAGAAGCAGCTTGATGGATATAGCTAGTGCTGACAGCTTCAGCTGGTGAATAGTGAACTACTGGAGCAGCAATTAATCCAGCATTGACTATGAACTTTTTAATAATACATAAAGATTAGTTCAAATTTAAATTTTCATTAATAAGTACTTACATTGAAAGCCATGATGTCGATTAAATATTTCAAGCCAGTTATATACCCCAAAAAATATTTCGGTTTACTTTCGGTACGTAAGGTCTAGGTTTATAAGTTGTATCTACGTTTACTGCACACAGTACATATCAATTATTTGCAATTATTTATTTTTTTATTAATAATGAATTTATTAGTAATTTTTCACTTTCCTTGTTTTTAAAAAGAATTTGTTGATAATTCGAATGATTGTAAAAGTTAAAAATGTGATTATATCTGTATTTTTATAGTAAACATAATTATTTTGAGATTGTCAAAATCTAATTAATTACATCACTCGAAAAAATATATTCAAAGTTGAACAGATGTATAAAAAAATAACATATATATGAGTAGAAATTGCCTGAGAAGTAAAGGAGTGGTTTTGGGTGCAGCACTTCAACGTAATTTCGAATGGAAGTCAGAAAAGTGAAAATGTTTATGGTGTTATCCAAAAACCGATTGGTAGAAAAATAAAATGTAAATATATATAAATCTAATAATATAACTTGTTCTATTGTATTATTTTACATAGATTTTTTTTGTAAATGTGAAAGTGTATTGAATAAATGATAATTACTAAAAGAAGTATTACTTTATAAATGACATAAATAAAAGAATTGTTTAAAAAAAGTAAAAAATCATTTATTTAACATGTTTACAAATATTTGTATGTAATAAATTTAATTTCTTATTATATAATTACCATTTTTGGGCTACTGGAGCAGCATGGGTGTAGGCTACTGGAGCAGCGGCGTAGGTGGCAACTGGGGCGGCGATGGTCTTAGCAACTACTGGAGCATAGGAAGCTACTGGGGCAGCATAAGCTACTTGAGCTGGTCCGTAGGCTACTGGGGCAGCTTGAGCATAGGCAAGTGGAGCTTGTGCGTAAGCTACTGGAGCAGCCTGGGCATAGGCGACTGGGGCAACTTGAGAGTAAGTAGCTACAGGGGCTACAGTCTTGGCAACTACTGGAGCTTGATGGGCATAACCGTAGGCTGGAGCAGCAACAGTCTTGGCAACAACTGGGCCGTAGGTAGCTACTGGGGCTTGAGCGTAGGTGGTGATAGTCTTGGAGGCTACTGGAGCAGCTTGGGCGTATGCTACTGGGGCAGATTGGGTGTAGGCAACTGGGGCAGCTTGTGCGTAAGCTACTGGAGCAGCATGAACGTAAGCAACTGGAGCAGCTTGAGCGTAAGTTACTGGAGCAGCTTGAGCGTAAGCTACTGGAGCAGCTTGAGCGTAGGCTACTGGAGCGGCATGAGCGTAAGCTACTGGAGCAGATTGGGTATAGGCAACTGGAGCAGCATGAGCGTAAGCTACTGGAGCAGCTTGAGCGTAAGCTACTGGGGCAGCCTGGGCATAGGCGACTGGGGCAACTTGAGAGTAAGTAGCTACTGGGGCTACAGTCTTGGCAACTACTGGGGCAGCTTGAGCATAGGTGGATACGGTCTTGGCGACAACTGGGGCGGCATGTGCGTAGGTTTGAGCTACATGTTTAACTGGAGTGTTGTGTTGAACGTAGCTGCTGCTAACGGAGGTGGTGTATTGTTGGGCAGCTGGTGCTCCAATGAATCCAGCGTTGGCGCAAGCCAAAGCAGCCAAAAATACTACGAACTAAAAATGAAAATAGAGAATAATTAATATTAAATAAGATTAAACACAAAAAGAACGATTGAATACTTACTTTGAAAGCCATTTTAAAGTGGTTGAGTGATAGTTTGCAAGAAACTGATACAGTTCGAGAACATCCTGCCCGTTTTATACTAGTCCAAATCTACAAATTACATAACAACGCACCAAAATTTGATCCTACTTTCGCCGCGATTCTAATCCAGCACAGATTTATAAAAAATGGAATAGTTTTTTATATTCATATAAATTTAAACTAATGAAAGTTTGTTTTTAAATTATTTTTGTTCCACGACAAAACAAATTTAATACATGTATTATATTACAATATATGAACTTGGTGATGATTTCAAATCAAGCGTAATTGAAATAGTTGTTATACTTATTAAATAATAATAACAAAATATTTATCTAGTAACTTAAAATTTGTTTAATTTTGAATAAATGTGAAATATACTAAATGCTACATTATTATTCATATTGTTGGCTATTGACCATAATCTTTGAATACAAGATTATCTTATCGTATAACTGATGTAAAATTTTAATTGTATAACAATTAGCGGAACCTATATTATATCGTATAACTGATGTAAAATTTTAATTGTATAACAATTAGCGGAACCTATTTTATATCGTATTTGTGTAAATTATGTTTTATAGGGATACATTATTATGAGAAGTAATATTTATATAAAATTACACAAAATTGTAAAAATGTGTAATAAAATATTACAAATTATTACTTTACTAAATGTTATTCTGATTTGTATATGTTAATTTGAATAAATTTTAATAGATTAACATATATTATATCAGTAACAGGTGATAAATGCAGAAATGAAATTGATTTTGATTTGATCTATTAAATCGATTAAACAAGTATAATTTATTACTGACATGAATGAGATAAAATGTGACATTATTTGTTATTTAAACTGTATTTTTTTTATATCTTTACAATCTTTTGGAAAAGTCTTGCTTTTGATCATATTTTATTTTAATTAATTATTTTTTTCTATAATAATTGAGTAAATAATCATTTGCATTAATATTATTTGCATTATTTTGGAAATGTGGAAATACCTAAGAGTGAAATTTATATCAAACAACATTCTTTAGTCTTTGATTAGGTCCCGGATGAAGTGTATATTTAACTAATTACAGGAATACCAATACATATTACAGGTTTGCCAATATCTCGGAGTATTGGAACCGGACTAAATCAAAATTTTTTAAAGAAGACTGTATAGGCAAGAAAACAACAACATTTAGTTTGTATTGAGATTTTCAAACCAGATCATACTGAATCCTTACTTAAGCCGCACTATGGGAGACATTGTACAGGATGTAAACTCTATTTGAAAGTCGATGGGTCAAATATTACTGTGGCAATATAATATATTACAATACAATAGGCATATAAGAATAAATATTGCAAGAATCATTGTCATTATTTATAGAAAAGTAATAGTAACAGTAGAGAGAAAATTATGATATAATCTAAATAAATATACCCTAAATATAATTAATAAATATCTGAACTGTATTATGTTTCTATTTGTTAATATAACTTTGACCTTTAAATATTTACTTCTTTTTTATGGTGAAAGTAGTCGAGATTTTAATTAACTATTTTTTATTTTGTTATGATTGTATAAATACGTTTTATTGTTATAAGAATTTCCGAATGCATTTATAATATTATTTAATATAAAACCATATTATTAATTAATTTGTGTAATTTGCAGTATTTTTATAATTATTAAATAGTTAAAAAGTATAGAAAAGTATATTAGATTGACAAAAAAATCAAAATTTGTTATTTAATAGTAATTAAAGGTGCATATAATTATAATATAACATTCTCTAGACGTATTGTGGTAATCCGGTTTTGTGTCATAATATGTACTGCAAAATCATGCCGGTCCACTTTCCCTGAAGAAGGTCTAGGTTGAACTGCGGAAAGTTTTAATCCATTTTAAGATCAAAATCTGTGTAGTTCTGTGTAAAATAAAATAATAATTTATAACATATAATATATAATATATTAAAATATATTTTGCAAAATATATAATTCATAATAATATATAAATATCAAGAAAATAATATATTTTTTTAAATATTTATAACTAAATACAGTAAAACCTTTTTTGTGCGGTAGATAGTGACCGCATAAAACTTAGAAGATACGTCAAAGATTTACAAAATACATGAAAGTGCATCCAAACAAAATAAATAATTGAATTACACATAAAAATATTTAATTTCTCATTGTACATATGGAACATTTTCAAAAATGCACATAAATAATTCACTGCTACATGTGCTAATCCAAAGTGCGCATCTTCTTGTGATGAATCGGTTCAAAATCAACTAACAGAATTGTTTGAGCAGGCTGTCCATATACACAGTGATTGAAAACGTTATAATGGTGCCAACGCGGTTGGAAAAAGTTGGATTTCATATACTGCAAATCGCATAAAAAGGACCGCACAAAGCTGGTTCTACTGTACATTTTTTTACAATATTTTACATTTAATTTTGTTGCTTTGTACTGGTGCGCCTCACCTTCAATTCTTGCAACAATCCTAAAAACTGGTATTGTGAATGAGCTTGTATTAATAATATTTACAAAATTTGTCATAAAATTATCATTGGTAATGGGCACCAATGGAATGAAAGCTGGGCAATAGCATATGTAATTACTGGAGTAAATAGCTACTGGAACAATGGTTTTGGAAACAACTGGGTTAACGCGAGCATAATGCTGAATGCCATTATTTTTAGTCTTGTGAAAGTTCTAAATAAACTGTTGGAGATTATATGCCCCACAATACATTCATTTGTTCTTCTTTCTTCTCCCAGGTCTATGGTAAATTTTAAGTTGTAAATGTTAAGTTGTAAGTATATACATAACAATAAAAATACAATGGAACCTCGCTTAACAAGCACCTAGCCTAACGAGCATTTCGCTTGACGAGAAAAATAAATTTTAAGAAAAATGACTCGCTTAATGAGTGACGAGAAGAAGAGAAGTCTCAGATTGTGCGTTTGCTATATCATTTTCAAAACTTTTCAATTTTTTTGTCATCTTTGTCTGTAGCGGACTATATTTTGCAAATATAATTTATCAATTCTGTAACAGCATAACAAAATTGTATTGTGTTCAATCATTATTATAATATATAAACAAACTATGTACACTTTTTTAAATAAACAAATATTAAAATTATATGGAGAAAATGGAGTCAGGCATAAATTCTTTTCAACGTATGTGAATGCATATCTCCGAATAAAAAGCCAAAGAATAAAAATAACCATAGATATAATAACCAAAATCATTAAAAGCGAGACCTAGTTATACTTCCGGTATGAAAAATTAGTTTATATGGGGAAAATTGTTTCACTATACGTGTAAAAATACCGAAATTTTGGAACGGATTATGCTCGTTAAGCAAGGTTCCACTGTATTTGATTTTTTATTATATTTTATATAGCATATTATTTCCATATTAATTGATTTTGTTATATAACTATAATTATATTATTTGTTTCGCCTTTTATATTTTACTATGTAGTATGAGCGTAAGTGGCTACTGGAGCGGCATGAGCATAGGTAGCTACTGGAGCGGCATGAGCATAGGTAGCTACTGGAGCGGCTTGTGTATATGTTGCTACTGGAGCAATGGTTTTAGCAACCACTGGGGTAGCATGAGTATAAGGTAGCATATATATATATATAATTGTTATTATATTTTAATGAAAAAATATTATTATTATTTGTAATTGGGCAAAAGAAAACTTACAATTTTTTGTACACAACCTTGTGAGTGGTTGTGGACGCTGGTGGACAATGATAGTGATAAGATTTACATAATATTAAAAAAAAATATACCAATGGCTATTTACCGCACTCTAACAAACTAATTTAATCTATTTTATAATATTCTATATTTATGATGTTATATTGCATTGAGGAATACGAAAAATATTTAGTATAAGCAAGGTACAATATTTGGAATAGCCCCCTGTTAATAACGCTTAGATGAAAAGATAGACATACTGTCTGTTCATATTTGTTATTCAATAGCATATGTGGTGTTTGGTACTTTTTTACTATAAATAATTGTACAATACATTATATTAATATATATGAATTAAATAACTATTTATATGATATTAGTAAAATACTTTTGTTAAAATTGCTATTCAGATTAACAAACAAACTTATATTTATTTCATATAGGGCTTAGGTATATATATTTATTTAAAAATATAATTATTCTGATAATTCTTATTATTTTATTTCATTAAATAAATATTTGATATTTAAAATACATTTTATGAAATTACCATTGATAGTGGGCACCAAGACTTTCGAAGGTGGTGTGGGATACAACGGAAGCAGGAGAGTAGGTAAGAGCAGGCTTGGCTACAACTGGAGCGGTATGAGCATAGGTAGTAACTGGAGCGGCATGAGCGTATGTAGCATGAGCGTAAGTGGCTACTGGAGCGGCATGAGCATAGGTAGCTACTGGAGCGGCTTGTGTATATGTTGCTACTGGAGCAATGGTTTTAGCAACCACTGGGGTAGCATGAGTATAAGAGAAGGCATCGTTGGTGATGCGGGTGTCGTATTTGCGGACGGTGGAGAAAGCGCTGTCTTCAGTCTTGGAGTAATGAGAGACAGCTTGAGCTCCTCCCAAAGAACGGACCACGCTTTGGCTGGTGGTTCCTACAGCTGGGGCGTGAACGGCGACTTGGGCGGCATGAGCGTAAGTAGCTACTGGAGTGGCATGAGCATAGGTAGCTGGAGCAGCATGAGCATAAGTAGCGACTGGCGTGGCATGCGCATAGGTGGTTACTGGAGCGACATGAGCGTAGGTAGCTACTGGAGCAGCGAAGGTCTTGGCGAGAATTGGAGCAGCAGCTTGGTGGATGTAGCTGGAGCTGACGGTTTCAGCTGGAGAATAGTGAGCAACTGGTGCTCCGATGAGACCTGCGTTGGCGCAAGCCAAAGCGGCGCAGAAAACTAAAAACTAAATTATTTGATTAGTAATTTTCTAATGCATCTAATAATTGAAAATCTTACTTTGAATGCCATTGTTGTTTGTCTTGTGATAGTTTGAAGTAAACTGATGTCGATTGGAGATTTCTAGTGTATTATATAGCGCGCAAAACGTTGCACAATAAATTTATATATGTTCCACTTTCTTTTCCAAGGTCTAGGGTAAATTATACATTGTATTGTGTATCATAATTGTTTTTATAATACATTTAACTGATTTTAATTATGTACATAATACTAACTATATGTCCAATATGCCTATTGACCATTCAGTTGTTGTCTTTAAAATATACTCATAATCTCGCAGTTATTAAAAACAGTTTTTTTTTATAAGCAAATGCTTTATCTCAAAATATACTTTTAAGTTTTACTCTTCATCAAATAAATACTGTTTGTAATATTTTTTGTAATATAAATACATATTTTTTATTGTAAATAGATGTTTCATTATATTTGTTTGTATTTAATAAAATATTAGAGAATTTTTGATTATATGTTTGTGTACTTAAGAGAATGCAAGTATTTTTCAATACAGCTTTTTTCAATTAAAATCATATATATTTTGAAGAATTGATAATACTTTAAAACTTTAATGCAAGCTATAAATATAAACTTTATGACAAATTTCAAGATCATATTTAAATGACGAATAATCATTATTTGCGAACAGGCAATACTTTGAAACTAAATATAAGGCTAATTATATTAAAGTATTTCATTATTTTTTTCTATAATATTATTACTTTATTTACGATGAGGCTAGATAATTACTATGAGGATTTTGGAAAGTACTTAGTGTTTATCGAGTAGCGCATGTATGTACAATATGGCCCTCACTATATGTTCATGTCGGTATCAATAATATTTTCCGTATTATGTACACGCTCGAATTGCAAGTATTTTAAAATAATGTTTTGTCAAATTTAATTTTATATTCAATAATTATTATATAACTGTAAATTTAATAATGATAAAAATATTTATTAAAGCAATTAAAATAGTAATAAACGTATTTATATAATCATAACCAAATTAAAAATAACTAATTGTTCTAAAGGATTATTGGCCATGGTCCATTTCGCTCATTTAGAATTATTTGATGTAATTGAAGAGCTTTTTGCATGCAAAGACTTCTGTTGATAAATAACGAATACATATTTGAAGAACTGAAGAAAGTATAATTTAATAATAATTAATAATTTAATTTAGAGGGAGTAGGTGTATAAAAATAAAAGGAGAATACATATTTCATTTATGATTATTTTATTTCATTAAATAAATATTTAATATTTACAAGATTTTTTATAGAATTACCATTGGTAGTGGGCACCAAGACCTTCGAAGGTGGTGTGGGATACAACAGAAGCTGGAGAGTAGGTAAGAGCAGCCTTGGCTACAACTGGGGCAGCGTGAGCATAGGTAGCAACTGGAGCGGTATGAGCGTAGGTGGCTACTGGAGCGGCATGAGCATAGGTAGCTACTGGAGCGGCATGGGCATAGGTAGCTACTGGGGTAATGGTCTTAGCAACAACTGGGGTAGCATGAGCATAAGTGGTTACTGGAGCTGCATGAGCATAAGAGGCTACTGGAGCGGCATGAGAGTAGGTAGCTACTGGAGCGGCATGAGTGTAGGTAGCTACTGGAGCAGCATGAGCATAAGAGAAGGCATCGTTGGTGATACGGGTGTCGTATTTGCGGACGGTGGAGTAAGCGCTATCTTCAGCTTTGGAGTAATGAGATACAGCTTGAGCTCCTCCCAAAGAACGGATTACGCTTTGGCTGGTGGTTCCTACAGCTGGAGCGTGAACGGCGACTTGTGCGGCATGAGCGTAAGTAGCTACTGGAGCAGCATGAGCATAAGAGGCTACTGGAGCGGCATGAGCGTAGGTAGCTACTGGAGCGGCATGAGTGTAGGTAGCTACTGGAGCAGCGAAGGTCTTGGCGATAATAGGAGCAGCAGCTTGGTGGATGTAGCTGGAGCTGACGGTTTCAGCTGGAGAGTAGTGAGCAACTGGAGCTCCGATGAGACCTGCATTGGCGCAAGCCAAAGCGGCGCAGAGAACTAGAAACTATTTAAAAATATTAGTAACTTCATTATTACTAATAATAGAGAACTTACTTTGTATGCCATTGTTGTTTGGGTTGTGATAGTTCAAAAGAAACTGATGCAGTTTGGAGGTATCACGCCCAATATATACCAACGGAAGAGATTGCGTAACCGTATACTCGTTCCACTTTCGTTTAGCAAGGTCTAGGTTAATTTTTAAGTATGCATTTAAGAAGTGTATGTATTGTTAAAATATGCTTATTTAATAAATTTTTATTTTATATTTCAAATTAAGATATATTTTAAATGTATGTTAGTAGTTATTATTGTTTTTATAATTAAATATTTCTTCAGTTCAAAAAGCCAATAGTTCTTTGTATTTATGTAAACATAAAAGTAATGCGTTATGTTTATTATCATTAATTTATTAATAATATATTGTGAATATATTTATAAATGACTTATTGATTTTATGATTATCAATATTTTATAGTAAAGAAATATAAAATTTTGCATAAACCATTTAAGAATACAAAATGTTTTTAGCAATTTAGAGAAGTTAATAAGGAGTGCGGAGCACGTAGCATTTTGTATGCTGTAAGGAATATATCCATTATATGGCCCTCAGGATGGCTTAGTGTCATTGCAATCCAGCTACAGAAAGTTCTTAAAACGAAGTCGTCTCCATGCCGCAGGTTGCCACTATGGGGTCTGCTCGGTTCTGTTCAAACATTCCCCAGACATTGTAATAGTAACCTAGGGACTGACTTTAATATTCCGCGATATTTTTATACTCTTTGCAGTTTGGGTTCAATGTTCGTTTTATAACTTAATTTTGCTTCAATTAAATGTAAGTTTTTAGTAAATCTTTTATTATAATTATAAAATTATATTTTTTGTTAAATCAAATTAATACTAATAATATATAAGAAAACTGGAGAGCCAAACCATTGTGTTCTTATTAAATATTTATTTTGTGCATGTATTAAATATTATGATATAGAATCTATATTATAGGTGATAGTATTTTCTAGATTATATAAAATAAAATTGAGAAATTTTATATTATAAGTTCCTTTCTATACTACTGTGTATAGGACTACAGATCAAATCTATAATAAAAATTATTTTTTTTCATAAATTGTCGATAAAACTAGCAATTGTGGTACATCTTGTATTTGTTATATATTATTAAATTAATATCTATCATTTTGACTAAAAGATAAACCAGATCAGAAGAGATAGACAAATTTTATAAAGAAAAAATGTTGTTCTCTGTATATAACATACTTTTTCTCATCCGAAAATTTCGGTTTGAAAGAAAATATGTTAGTGCAGAAATAATTATTTTTGACGTTGTTGATTATAATATAAAAATTGAACTATGAATAATTATATCATATTACTTATATAACAATGCCTCATATGAAACCATTCATAGTTTTTATTTTATAATTGATGCGAGCAGTATTTGAAATTACTCTTCTTAGAATATAACGAAATCTGATTCGGCTGTACGTTACGTCACTATTAAATTATAAATCGTTTATATTCAGGTGTGTTCTATGAATCAACACATTTTCTCTTCTAATATTAAATTGTTCACATTAACGTGCACAAATATGTTTAGTATATTTTAATATATTATTGTTTATTTACATTGCCTTTTTCTTGTTCTCTAAAATTATATTTTATTTATTTCAATATATATTAAAAATATATTCAAACAAAGATTAAAAATTGTTTTAAAAAATAATAATTTTATTCGTTATTAAATTGAAAATAATCAGCATTAAAATAATCTATATGAAATAACTTCATGAAAAGTAATTTCTTAATATTCGTAATGCAATAGAATATGTTAATTAAGAGGAAAAAAAATGTTCAATATTACTAAAATAATTAATCTATTGAAATTAATTTACTTTAAGCTCTTAAAACTTCAACTGATCATAGATGAAGATAAAATGTGTGAATACATTTTTGCCAGGAATTTTTCATAAAAATGATATGATATGATCTCAGAGTTGCAGTGAAGAAAATTAAACATATTTATTATATTGCAAAAGAAGTTTATTATAATAAATTAAATGAGTATACAATTATTTACATGATATCAGACATTTACCATTCGTAATGGGCACCAAGACCAGCGAAGGAAGTATGAGAGACAACGCTAGCTGGAGAGTAGGCAATGGCGGCTTTGGCAACAGGAGCAGTATGAGCGTAGGTAGCTACTGGAGCAGCATGAGCATAAGTGGCGACTGGAGCGGCATGAGCATAAGTAGCTATTGGGGCAGCATAAGCAGCCTTAGCGACTACTGGAGCAGCATAGGTTTTGGTGTAGGTAGCTACTGGGGCGGCATGGGCAAAGGAGTAAGCATCGTTGGTGATGCGGGTATCGTATTTGCGGACGGTGGAAAAGGCACTGTCCTCAGCCTTGGAGTAGTGAGATACTGCTTGAGCTCCTCCCAAAGAACGGACTACGCTTTGGCTGGTGGTTCCCACGGCAATTGGGGCGGCATGGGTATAGGTGGCTACTGGTGCGGCATGAGCGTAGGTAGTTACTGGGGCGGAATGAGCGTAGGTAGCTACTGGGGCGGCGTAGGTCTTGGCGATGATTGGAGCGGCATGGGCAACAGCAATTGGAGCAGCTGCTTGGTGGATGTAGCTGGAGCTGACTGCTTCAGCTGGAGAGTAGTGAGCAACTGGTGCACCGATGAGTCCGGCGTTGGCACAAGCCAAAGCGGCGCAAAGTACTACGAACTGCAAAGAAAACAAATGTAAAGTTTGGTACTATAATTCGAATGATAGTTGTTTTTGTATATGATGTACTTACTTTGAAAGCCATTGCAGATATGTTTTTGGTGATAGTTCGTGAGAAACTGATGCCAAACAGAAATTTTAAGCACGTTTTTATACTTCGAATTCTTACAAAACCATCACCCGGAGCCACCCAAACCAACTTTCGCTCTCGAAGGTCTGGGTTAGTTTAGTAGGGACTATTAAACATAATTATTTAATTGGACACACACTTTTTAATTTAATTACTTTATTTATATGTTAAAAATTATATTACTTATTAATTAAATATAAAATTAACTATATATTTATTAATTAATATATTAATGAGTTAATATGTAAATATGTTAATAACATGTATTTATAATCCCAATCATAGTAAAACAAAACGTTGCAAAAGTTCCGTACGTTTAAATAAATAAATTTATCTTATTATGTAAATTTATGCTTATTCAACATTATGATTTATACAAAGTTTTGTTATTAAAAATATACAATTAACTAACCCAATTTGATTACATATAACTTTAATAACATTTTCTTCCATTGTCGTATATTAACACAAAATTTATTATTACAATAGCATGTGTTTTATTATAAGTAATTTTAGCTAAAATTAATATGATGGGATATTTACTGGATAGATTCTTTTGTCGAAAATAAGAATACATTTTGCAATAGAAATAAAAAAAAAACTCATGCTGATTATGTTAAAATGTTGTTTATTATCAGGAAATTAATTATTTTTTATTTATTTTTAGCATAATCTTTAGTAACTAATAATTTTATTCATTTAGAATATACATGCTTTACAAATATAGTTATGAATAATATTTTGTTTTAATTACTAACAATTATTTATTTTAATATAAATATTATGGAATCTCCCTTAACGAGCATCTTTCATAACTTTGCATGACGAGCAAAAAACAGAGCACGAGTAACGCGGAAAAGGTTAATTTCTTGATTATGCGTTTGCTACATTATTTTTCAAACTTTTATTTTTTTACGTGTGCAAGGTCTAAAAACCGTTTCAAAAATATCTCGGAAGACGAAGCCATTAAAAGACAAATATAAAAGAAAAAACATTTAGTTTTTTTCACGTTTACTGCAAATTGCGTTCGCATTGCAGCTTGGTTAATTTAGTAATAAAATGTATCATAGTGTACCAATTCTTGATTATAAAAACAAAACTTAACGTATATTAAATGTTATTTTGTCAACAAATCTATTTTTGTAAGATGTTTTTATTAAAATATAAGGTGTTTCAGAATTTTTAGTAATAGTTACTATAGCAACTAGTTTATATTCTAGTATAATGTAAATAGGAGGAGTATGATAAGTGCTGTAAAAGACAATGATAACTCAGTACACACGTTTTTTAGATGCTGCAGATGTGATAAGAACTGCAAGCACTAGAGAAGTTCGTTGGTAAATTGCTGAAGAGCTAATAGAGGTGGTATATAATAGCAAGATACAAATCAAGGGTACACTCCATTAAGAAATATTAGCAGTTAATGGAAAGGAAAAAGGAAGAAAGTGGCATTGGCGACCAAAGTTTTGTTTTTATAATCAAGAATTGGTACACTATGATATAATTTTAGAGTTGCAATGAGGAAAATTAAACATATATATTGTTTTGCAAAAGAAGTTTATTATAATAAATTAACTGAGCATTCAACTATTTACATGAGTCAGGCATTTACCATTCGTAATGGGCACCAAGACCAGCGAAGGAGGTATGAGAGACAACGCTTGCTGGAGAGTAGGCAATGGCGGCTTTGGCAACAGGAGCAGCATGAGCGTAGGTAGCTACTGGAGCAGCATGAGCATAAGTGGCGACTGGAGCGGCATGAGCATAAGTAGCTACAGGGGCTACATAAGCAGCCTTAGCGACTAATGGAGCAGCATAGGTCTTGGCGTAGGTAGCTACTGGGGCGGCATGGGCAAAGGAGTAAGCATCGTTGGTGATGCGGGTATCGTATTTGCGGACGGTGGAGAAGGCACTGTCTTCAGCCTTGGAGTAGTGAGATACTGCTTGAGCTCCTCCCAAAGAACGGACTACGCTTTGGCTGGTGGTTCCTACGGCAATTGGGGCGGCATGGGCGTAAGCAGCTACTGGAGCAGCATGGGCATAGGTGGCTACTGGTGCGGTATGAGCGTAGGTAGCTACTGGGGCAGCATGTGCATAGGTGGCTACTGGGGCGGCGTAAGTCTTGGCGATGAGTGGAGCGGCATGGGCTACAGCAATTGGTGCAGCTGCTTGGTGGATGTAGCTGGAGCTGACTGCTTCAGCTGGAGAGTAGTGAGCAACTGGTGCACCGATGAGACCGGCATTGGCGCAAGCCAAAACAGCGCAAAATACTACGAACTGCGAAGTAAAAAATAAAATATTTTGTATTCCAATTCGAATCATAAATGTTGGTTTATATGATGTACTTACTTTGAAAGCCATTGCAGATGTGTGTTTGATGATTGTTTGTGAGAAACTGATGCCCAACAGAAATTTTAAGCACGTTTTTATACAAAAACGAATCACCCGAAGCCACCCAAACCAACTTTCGCTCTCGAAGGTCTGGGTTACTGTAGTATGGATTATTAAACATCAATATTTAATTTGACACACCCTTTGTAATTATTTACTGCACTTATGTGTGAACAATAGTTGAGTAGTTAATTAGTAGTAGTATTTTTTTAGTAATTATTACAAAAATGCGTTTATAAGTATTTCAAATGAATAACATTATTGCATAAGTTTATGAGGAATATACATTATCATTTATAATATTTTTAGTCTTTGTTATTATCATTAAATTTTAATTTATTTTTATTGTATAAATACAAGACCCATTTGGCCGAAAAGAAGAATATAATTTACAATAAAATTTTAAAGCCCGTATTAATAACATACTTCTAAGTAATTTGTAATATTTTCTATTCAAGTACGTTTATTCATATAAGTCATTTTTATATATGTTCCTAATTTTTACTGATTTATATTCTTCAAAATAATTATTAAATGATTTTATCAAAAGCATTATAAAACGGGAGGAAAAGACTGCTAGAATAAGTTTTATTTTATATTTATATATTATTACAAAGCAAAATACCTATTATTTAATATTTTATTTGAAAATTATACCAGCAGCTCAAAATTCTGATACGTTTCCAATTACTGTGTCTGCAAAAGCTCTATCATTATATTATATACTATGATAGTATATTAAATTATTTTGCAAATAAGAACAGCTTTTAGAAAATATTTACTGGTAAGAATTAAATTGTATATGTTAAATAAATAAACTATATTAATTTTGAGAATAATAAAGTATTTACTATAGTCTCAATTAACAAGCCAATTTTCAAAGAAACGTGCTTCTTTGAAGTACATGGAACTAAAATGCAATTTCAGATACAAAGAACTTGACCTGAGTTTTGGAACAAGTAACATTTAAAAATTATGTCGCCCGTTGCGGAGCACTTTCTCAATTTTTGTTAATAGCACGGATACAAAAAGCGAAAGCAATTTACAAGGTGTTCATGAATTCTGCACATTTTAAGTACACATTTTTATAACTTTATTGATTTATTTTGCAATGAACGAAATGTTTTTTTATTTGTGTTAATTAACTTTAATAACATTGTTTTCATATTGTCTTCAAATATACTTTAAACTATTATTTACATTTTCTATTGTCTCAATGGACTATTCTAGTACCCCAAATTAATAATTTTAATTTGGACAGACTTTTTGCTAATTATGTGGCCTAAATAAGGTTAATAATATTTATAAACCTATATTTATTTGTAAAAAAAATCATAAAACATACATTTCATTTCAAAATATAATAATAACCAACTGTTACAATGGGGATCATGGGCTTTTCTTTGATTTCAATTGAATTATTTCATAATAATTAAATCATTTCATTTTAGAATGCACAAATTAAAACTATTTTTCGATTTTTTTCAGTCCTAAATATAATTTAAGTATAATCTCTTAATCTTCAAGTTATTGTTAAGAATTTTTGGATTAAAAAAAAATAACTTTTTTAATTATAGGTAGTCCTAATTTTCCCTGCAGTCTTTTAGTCTAACATTTATAATTGTATTAAAATAAGCGTTTTAACTAAGTTTCTAATTATTACAGAAAAATATATTATTTTTTATGTCGTATAATTTTATTCACAATCTGTTCATCAATGTGAACATTGAGTAAATTTAAGATCGCTGCTGACATTAATTGGATAATCTTTCCCGGTGGATAGTTTAGCAGAAAAATATGAAACAGCAACTACTTTTAATGAATTTGTTTTCATGTTAATTACAACATAATACATCCTAAAAATAGTTACACAACTTACAGAATATCCTACCTTACGTCATAATCAATTTGATCTATATTCTTTTACTAAATTTCTTCTATGTCCATGACATTTTAATAAAAATCGCTCAACCTTTATATCATCAAATAAAAATTCTAAAGTAAACATCATAAATTGATTTGTTTTCTTTAATAATATAAAATAATTTAATTAGAAAAGCAGGCATTGTATGTGTGTAAAAATTCTTTCAGAAATTAGATCCAAAATATGTTGTTTCAAAAAAACTTGTATCAAATTTTTTTACCTCGTATACTATGGGTAATCGATTCCGCCAATACCCCGGGCTGTTTGAAACCGGACTAATCGAAAAAGTAAATAGAAATATAAGAAGAACAACATAATATATAAATAAATAATTTTGTATAATATTATTTTTAGAATTTATTTTTTATTTTGTCACTTATAATTTTGTTTATTATAAATATAATGTGAATCCGGACTAATTATGGAGACTATCTAGATTAGATGTTGTTCAATTTTTTTTTCAATAAAATTGTTTATTTGTTGTAAATAATATTTTATTTATTATCATATAATTAATAACATTTACAAGTAAATTATTTATGAATGATTTTCTCGGCGTGTCCATTTTTTGTTTCATAATTTAATGTGCATTTGATATTTAACGTGAGACTACTTATAACCAAAAGTAGGTTACAATAATGAGTATCAACTAAATATACTCGTATTTTGAATTAGAACATATCTGAATGGAAGAAATCTTAAATTATAATAAATATAGATTCATGGTTAAACAAATATTAACAATAATGTTCATTGACACAACTATATAATAATATAAATATAGTCATACCTCGTTCGAAGGATACATTCTATGACATTACTTCGTAAGACGAAACTTGGTTTTCAGAGGTAAAATTACTAAAATAAAAATGACAATACGTTACTTCACAAAGAAAATGAAAAACTTTTTTCGGACAAAGAAAAATGTTATAAAACATACAATTTACATAAAAAGTGAAATTTGCCAATACGAAGTTATTGCATTTAACACTGATCCTTTAACAATAACACTGAATTGTTTTTTTTTAATTTCTTCTCTATGTTTTATCTTCTTTTCTAATTAGATTTTCTAAATCACAGAAAAACCATCACCATGATTCAATTTTTTTGAATAATATTTTTGTTCATCTAATACAAGTTCTGGCCATATTTTCCGCCAAACTACAATGAAGCATTATGTAGTTACCATTCTCCAAGAACTTTCAATGATTGCGGAATTTGTTATAATTAAACTTCGTTATTAAAGGTAACGTTAATCGAGGTATCGACTGTATTGCATATTGAAATAGTGTAAAATGAAAACAGTTCTTGAATCATTACAATACCAAAAGAAACAATGTAATAGAAAGAATAATAAATAATTTAATAACGTGTGAAACAAATGTTGACATTTCCTTAATTAACTAAACTAAATATGGTAGTCTAATTGGTCAAACATATTATTATTATATAAATCCAATTAAAAACACAAATAAAAAACAAAACGAAAACTTTGTGGTTTGAAAAATTTGAATACAATAGAAATGATTAAATATATTATCTCGATTAAAATGAATATTTGGCATAAAGTTTGTGCAATAAAGGCAAATATATTTGCATAGTTTAAATCTTTCAACACGACGTCGGTGTCTGTAAAAAGTGTTATTTTATACGTGGGCACTCAAAGATCTCAGATAGGATCAAATAATACGCTTCGGAGTGTATTCATTGTGTAATAATGGTACGATGCAAATGCTCACAAGACCTGATCAATTTGCAAATGGTTCGGATTGAACGCAAATGAATGGTCCCACTCTATTCCAGATAAAATTGGATTGGCCAAATAATATACCGAGGATTTTTAAATCGGGTTGTGAAACTTTTATAAATGGCATTCAACGGGACGCACTAATTAGTTTCTTGTAGAAAACGTAAACTTAATTTACTATGCTATATATTTTTTGAAACAGAATTACGAAATAACCTGAATTAACTGTTACCTAATACATTGTTTCCTTTACGAATATAATCTTCAATCATTTAATAAATATGCAAATTTATTAATGTAATTTATGAATGTGTCACATCAATTCATCACTTTTTTTTTCAATCGGTTTTATACGTGTATTTTCAGTTTTTGAAACAAATCTATTTTAAATATTAACAAAATATTTAATTAATTTAATAAATTTTTAATGCAATTAAATTTAAGTTTAGAAATAGTATACCTAATATTAATTGTATAATTATTATTATACTATAACATATGATAACATAATATATGATTATAACTTTGTTCATCAACACGTCTATAATAAATATGAATTCAGATGTTTATTATATTATGTAAAATAAACAAAGCATAATATTACATTAAAAATAGGTTTATGATGCTCATCAAATTATTGCTTGTTTTGTTTAATTTGACCATTTTAGTAAAATAACGCCGGTTTGATTTACGCCGATTTACAATTACGGCGCTGCGAAATAACGCTTATTAATTGTTGATTTTACACTTATTGAAACCGGACTAATCGAAAAAGTAAATAGAAATATATAAACAAGTATTTCCAACTAAAACACTATAATTTTTTATTCATACAACAGGTGTATTTTAAAATTTAATATATTATATTATTTAAATTAATTTAGTAAATTTAATATTTATCTATCGATTAGGTTTCTGCATATCCACATGCAAATTAAAAAAAAACACTAACATGTTCTATTCAACAAATGTGGCAAAAACAAAATGTAGATTCTAAATTTAATTAAATACTACTATAATAATGTTTTTTTATTGTAAAAAAAATATTTTTATATTCGAATCAAATATTACCAATAATCAAATTCACCAAAAGGGTGGCAGAAATAGGTCAGTGTAAGTAAAAAAATATTTAAAAAGTTAGTAAAACTTCATATAAATATTAATTATTGTTGAATTCAATAAATTATTTGTGAATTGTTATATTCTTATGATATAATTAAATATTTAATATAATCTCTATAAAATACAGAATTATCAATTGTATAATAGCCTTAGGTTTTATACCACAATTGTGTTTGACCTACAATAATATAATATAATAATCAATCAGGTTGAACAATCTTTTATGTAACACTTAGAAGCAATACAATCGGTTATTGACCGTTTTCTGCCTGCGGTCAAATTTTTGATTATGCAAATTTGAAAAATAAAAAAACATGTTCATTAGTATATGGAAATGATATGACTAATATCGATCAATCGTGAGAAATTGCTTTAATTCAGTAATGATCATAAACTTAACATTGTTATCAAACTTTTTTTTATCATTATCAATATGATTTAAAATTTACTTTAAAATAATATTTTTTTTATAAGAAGTAAGAAATCATAACTTTTAACATATTGTGATCTTTATACAACACATTTGTTTATTGAGCTACTTTGTATAATGTTGTTAGAATATTAGAATTATTTAAAACAAAAAATGGACACAAAGCCCTGTGTTTAAAAGTGAGTCAATATTTTTTTTAAATAAATCAATCAAAATAAAGATAATACAAAATACAAATTTAAAAAAATCGAATAAATAACTTTGATGAAATAATAATGCTGTATTATTTTTGATATTTGTTCGGAAATAATTTAATTTACAGATAATAAATTTATACAAATATGATGACGTTTATTTAATAATAAATTTTATAAGATATGATCATATTCTTTAAAGCATTTTTAGTAAATAATTTATTTAATTTTGTTTAGAAGTTGATCTAAATATTTGATTGTTTTCCAGATATTAATTTAATAATAATAATTTATTGGCCAGACATCAATACAAAAGAAAAAAATCATGCTATAAATAAATAAATAATAATAATAAAAACTAAAAAATTATAATAACTCTCATAATAAATAAATTCTAACACAAAATTAAAAAAAATATTAATAAAAAAATATTATTATTCAATACTCAATTATTTTTTTAATCAAATAGTATATTTTATATAAATGAACTAATGTAATATAAATATATTTATATAAAAATGCAGTAATGACTGTAATAAGGAATTTAATACAGGTATCCAACTTACGAACTCCCGGACTTACGAACAAAATTCAAATAGCTCTAACTTGTTACAAGGAGATATATAGTGATTAAAAAAATAAAAATTAACATGTTTTATTAATATAATTGTGATGTCTACATTGAAAAGTATTTGTAAGTAAGTATTTTGTTTTTTTATCTATTTTTTTCAAATTTATGCAGTCAGGAACACGAAATTTAAATAAAAATATATTTTGAAATGCGCAGTATCTGAGCATTCTAAAATTTGACAGATTCTAAAAAATAGTTTCGTTAATAAATTATGAGAATAACAAGAAAGCATTGCAATAAATAATGCTTATCTAAGAGATAAGGATAGAACAATAATATTTACATATTAAATAAATGAGTACGCATCAACTACATTCCTATTTATTATAGATTTAATCTAATGAAACAAAGTAAATTTAAATTCAGCATCTTATATTGTTGGCGTATCATCCATCCTTAAATCCATCTTTTTGGAGATCTGCAAATAATAGGAATAATAGGAAACATATTAGCAGGATCAATATTTACCCGGGGCTTCTCCAAGTGGTCCTTTCTATAGATCGCAGTGAATCGTAACGGTTGCTGAAACAAAAAGCGCATTTCCCCATTATCCTCTTAAGCTTCTGCCCTTTGAACTTTCATAAAAAAAGAAGAAGACAAGAGAAAAATAACAGAAAAAAGCAAATAAATGGATCGTGCAAATTGTATGCCCTAAATTTTTCTTTACGGTAAAATCTCGAGTATAATACCTACAATTTGTACTCAATTTAGGCAGAAAAATACGTAATTACATACAAAAATAAAACTAAATTCTAACAAATTAGTACAAAAAAATATTTTTTTATACATAAATCATCTCTTTATATAAGTTTATTTTTTGTATGTATTTAGTTCATCATTTACCTGCACTATATGAGGTATTTCTATATTTAGTTCCCCGATTAGTCCGGTTATGTTTCTAAAAGTTGTTTGAAATTTAAAACAAAAGTTTAGGGTTTGTATATACGAATTTTTATTGTGCTTTATAGAAGAATCCGTATTATATTCAAGATTTTACGATATACAATCGTATATAAGAAAGTGAACTCACTTTCGTGGCCGCGACCTAGAAATCGCTGCGATCGTGGCTACACTCGGTCTGCTGCTCGCCCAAAGAAATGACATAACAAGTAAATCAGATTAAATAACACACGCATCGAACGGGTCTCACCTTGGCGAAGGATGTTGACCATTGAAAGAAGGCCTACAAAAGAAGATAAAAATGGGTAGACGAAATTGGATCCGTGCTACATTATTATTATATATTTTTTGTTGTTGTTGTTCGCCGTACCTGGGTGGAGAAGGTATTAAACCAATCGTTGAGTCCCTGATACCGGATCCCATGGTTGCGTGTTGTCGAAAAGATTGCAACCAAGTGAAACGATCATGAATGAGTCGGCCGCAAATGCGGATTGCGTAATGCGATCGCACATGCAGATCGTGGTTTACATTAAATCAAAATGGATCGTATATTTACCTGGGACTCGCCCATGGTGAACTTTCTTCGGCGATTTGGTCGACCGATCGGGGCGTGCTAAAATTAGAGAGAAGAAAGAAACAAAAAATGTGGGAACTTTTAAATGTGCACATGAAGAGTAAAGTAGAAAGGATGTAGACATTAATATTAATTGTTGCACATTCGAAAAACGATCACACTTTAACACGCCTTAAAATTCAAGACGCGGCATCAAACTGGAATTGCATAATAAACAGAAATAATGACGTTAATTCGTTGCGTTTTTTCGTTTACACTTTTTTAAAAAAATGTTAATTTCTTTCAATTAATACCATTAGCGAATTGTATAAAAAAATATTACAGTGGATTGGAAAGTTCAACAATTAAAAATAAATTATTAAACCAAAATCATGGCATTTTGTTTGCTATTACAACATATATAATATTAGTGTGCTTTAAGATATAGAAATAATGATGAATCAGGTCTTTAGTAGATGCTAATAAAAAAATAATATTGTATAAAATTATTAAACAATATTGACAAAAGTGAAGATGATTTTTTAAAAGTTTTTATCAAATTAGTCAACTCAAAATTATTAACTTTTTATGATACTGTTATGTACTTAAAATAATGCAAACTGAATATTTTTTTATTGAATATTGACAAAATAGTTCAATAAACTTTATAGATTTTTTAACTATATTTATTTATTTATCATATTGCATATAGTTATTCCTAAATATTACACTTTGTATAAAAATACTAATCTCAGTAACATTATAATAAACTGAAAAATAATGCAAATTTAATATTATATTTTAGAAAAAATATTTTTAATTATTTTTATATAAATATAGGGTAAAATTTGAAACAAAACAACAGACATATGGGAATTATGTATGAAAGTGAATATATGTGATTATGTAAAAAGTGAATATTCAACATAGACTTTATATTCAAAACGTGTCATCAAACTAGATTTCCACAACAAAGAAAAATACCCATTGCCTTCAATTAATATTATTAGCGAATTGAATAAAAATATACACTAGATTGGAAAGTTCAACAGTAAAATATAAATTGCTTAATGACTCACTCATAGATTTTTTGTGTTTTTAATTATAGCTTTTCGGTTGGATCAGTATAATACATGTTTTTCCTAATATCCAAAATAAATAAATTGTATAAAATATACAAAAATATTTTTTATGCTGTTGAAAATATTATATATATATATACAATTTACTCCTATAATTATTGCATTTTCTGTGTTATATTCTCCATGTAATAATTCTCAAACTTTATACTAGCATTAACTAAAACCGTCCACATATATTATTTGATACTATCAATTTGAAGTTGCTACAAATGAATGTATATATTTATAAGCAAACTGCAAATATTTTAACAGTTTTAATATTTTATTTTAAAGTTGCATACAAAATGTAAATTTGAATAATTTATTTTCTAAATATTTCTTTCTAAACTATATTTTTCTTTAACATGCTTTACAATTTTTAAAGAATTACGTGTATTAGAGGTTCGAGATTTGATAACATAATTTATATTAAATAAATTATCTATGTAAACTTTATTTTCCTTTGCAATTATGTGTATTAAGCTACGTTAATGAATAAAATTATTAATATTATACAAATCATTAGGAGAATGAAGAATGTTCTAAAATTCATTTCATTAATGAAGTTCATGATAAAGTACAAATCACATTTAAAAGAATTAAATATTTATTGAATTTTTAACGAATTTGTGAAAATGCCTTAGAATATTAATTTAAGAAAAAAATGTAATTTCGTAATTTTAAATTATTCTAGAAGAATAAGTGTAACAAAATTGCAATTAAATAGTGATAAGTATAAATAGAATATATCAATAAAACACATAAATTTAATTTACAAATTCAAGATGTAAGCTGTACTGTTATTAAAAGATAGAATCTTAAGGTGTGGTTCTAATGTTTCGTGAAATATAAATATTGCAACATAAGTATGACATGGATGGGTGTTATACCTATGATTTTTGTAGTGAGAATTATAGTTATTAAGTATGATTCATGGTGTCTAGTTATTTTTAAAATTTATTGTATAAAGATTATCTTATTATTTATTTAGATTATTATGTAATAAATATGCGTTAATTTTTGAATAGAAAATAGTAGAAAAAACCTATTCCATGAAGACGTATACAGAAACTTCATGAATAATTTAAAAAGTTGCATGATAACGTGATAAGGGGTTGTACAATTTATAATTGTTTGTACATTTTTTATATAAGTACTAGATCAGTAATTCTCGAGAAAAATCGAAAAATAATCATAGATAAATGATATAATAATAAGATAATAATGAAGTAATACTAATCATTCCTTTTGTATTTTAGGAAATAATTTAAGTCTAAACGAGATTTGATAAATTCAAAACATTTTTATCTTTATCTAACGCCTTCTTTTTATAGAATAGTTATTAAAATTACATGTAGAAGTTATTTTAAGTCTTCATTTGCTCCTAATTTTTCAACTTACCATAATAATCTTTATTTCTACTGTATAATAAATATAAATTAGTATAAACAATAATTTAATTATGTAGTAGGCATTAAATAGAAACTGACCTTAGTCTAGATTTGGTAAGAGAGCAACATTATTTTTTTCTGACTTTTTAATAAATAATATAGTTTATCAAAATTATTTGATTATATAATATTTTCCTTTGGTCTAATTTCTAATGCAATAATTACCTATGATGAGAAGGAATGCTAGAAATTGTGGGTTGTACATCATCCCAAATTTGTTCCCTCGGACTGGCATTCCTGCAAACAATCATTATCAGACGTGCACAATTGCAATTAATCAAGTTTACTTACGAACTGGCAATTATAGATTTGAGACTATCGCTGCTGATCTTGTAGTGATGAATCAACCGTCTCGCAATTGGGACCATGCAAATCATGGAAAAAATACAGCAGAAGCATGAGAACGAGAGAGCATTCTGTATAAAGAAAGAAATAAATGTTTATATTAGGGCAACCTATAGAATATCGGAAGCAACCTATATTGCTTAGGTATTTCATGTAATGTTGATTTTGTATTAGCAAAGAGGATTGGATGACTGCTATCTAGTAATCCTATACAGATTCATTTAATTTAATCTGTGAATGACATGAGAATATAATTTATATTATCGAGTATAAAGTATAGTAGACTATAACACGAATTCCTACGACGCGCTAAAAATATTGGGACGGTTGTTTTATATAACGCGATTGTCGTACAACACAAATATGTCAATAGTAATTCCAAACATTATACGTCTTATACGAGAAAAAATCTTGTATAACACGATTTCTTACAACCATTAAGGTATTAACAGCGATATACGGAGGTCCACTGTATATTAAAGAATAATAATATTTACTAATTTCACAACATATAGAAGTAAAAAACTTAAATATATAAAAATATTGTAATTATTTACAACTATTTATAGGGTTTATGGTTATTGATCTTTTTGGCCAAAATAATTATAATTAATATGATTATTTTTGTTTGTCAGAAAATAAAAATTGTTTCATTATTAAAATTATTTTTATATACAATCTACCTAACATTCGACTTTTTTTAGCCACAATTTCTCATCAAAAGAGCCGCAGTTGCCGACCCCTGATCTGGGCGGTGTATATAATATTATTATTTTGTATAATTTGCCAAATTCCATGAGGTATAACATAGAATGCCTAGGATTTTGTACATGAAACTGTATTATACACCTCGCTGATATCTTATATAGGATATCGAAAATATTATATAATTAGTGAATAAGTTAATTACCAACGGGTCAATCAGTTCGGGGCAGAGGCAGTTCCGTGTCGAGACGAAGATGGCCCAAAGCGGTTTAGTTCTCGCCACTTTCCTTTCAATTTCGAAATGCACATGAGATCTGAACTGGTCCAAATAGTCGATCAAATGGTTCGAGTAGTTGTAAATGACCTGCGAATTGTAAAATTCCAATTTTGAAAACGCGAAATGATTTAATTGCGTGGAGGGACGGCGGCGTTGATGAGAGTTTTGCTTTAATTTTTGTATCCTCGAGGGATGCTCATTTAATTCGGCCCAATTAGCACGTACCTTTTCGGCAATTCTATTCCCGTCTACATTAACCGCACCGGCGAACTGCCTGAGCTTCCCTAAAACGAGCTCCGTTTTCTCGCGCAATGGAACCAAGACAACCTCCAATGCGGTCACATCATACAGAATGTTCTCCTTGAATTGGCTCATTATCTTGTACTCGTTATTCAGGACGTCCCTCAGCTTCAAAATGAACTTCTCCAAGCGGTTTGCGGTTCGAGTATCAACAATTTGCTTTGCCACGGCATAAGCTTGATCCATTAAACCGTTCAGGTCCTTAACTGTGACAGGCGATAATATCTTTGACCTGTAATTAGTGAGGTTCACTCTGGTCGCGGCGACTAAATCTTTCAAATTTGATTCTTGTCCGAATGTGAAAATATTTGCAGTTCTTTGCGTAATCCTAAACCTATTTATGGTAGTATTCAAATCCGACCATTTGTCAAAGTCTATCAGTTCGAAGAGGTTTATTTTATTTCCTAATTTAAAGGTGGAATACGCACCTGCATTTCTCTCTATTTTTCTAACAAAATAAGTTATTTCTTATACATCCAATTATAAATACAGGTATATTTAATGCTACAAATATACAAGATATGACACAAAACCGTTTCATTTTTGTAATTTTAATTATTTACTTGAGGGTAGTTTGTCATATTAAAGTAATAAATTGTTTATTTTTTACTTTTCTAAGTTACATGAATTAATGGTTCATGGATACAAAAAAAGTGTTATATATTATCTTGTATATTTGTATTGTGCAGGTATCTCTAGTATAACACGGTACATTTTTCTTCTAAGACGATTAGAGAATTTCACCCGAACCTTATATGCAGCATATTCATATATCATGCTATCATAAATACTCAAGTTTAAGAGACTTTCAAATGTTATGTTTGACAATTCTAATAACTCTCATTATTTTTATTATTAGTCCCCAATCGCGCAACGCAATATTTTCTCTGAACGTAAGTACCATGTTATATCAGAAATACTAATATTATATTTGTAATAACGTACCTCAATATATCCATTGTAAGCAGAGATTCGTTCGTACTTAAGATTTTTTTTAAATATCCTCCATCGCGATATAATAAACCTTCGTCGTCGAGTATTTCCGAGAGAGTTAAGTAATTGGGATCGTATAGTGGGTTGCATATGAAATTTGTGCCGTGGACAGCGAGCAGAAAGGAGGCGGCTGCAATGACGAGAAGCAGGAGGGATACGAATGAAGCAAGAGATAATCCTAGAATTAAATATGGAATTATTGTTTTATGGGGACTTTCGCATCCTGAAGGTGCTCCGCATATGAGAAATATCCATGTGATGAATGTGAAAATTGCAATACCTGATAAATACAGAGAACACATAAATTATTATATATTATAATGTATTTGATTTACATTAATGATTATATATGACTGATGTATTTGCATATAAATAGAATTATCGATTACAAAATTATTGATAAATGTCATCTAAATCTATTCATGCAGATTATTCAATATTTTTTAAATAATAGAATAATGAACTTTAATTTTATTATAATTAAATATATAATATATATAATCTATATATATAATTTATTTTGAAAGTTGTTAATATTATTTAGTTTTTATTATTATCAATCTCATAAAATAATAGTTTTCATAATATTTCATTACCAGGTGCAAAAATGTAAAAATATTGAATAAATCCATATAATTTCAGTCACATATCAGTGATTATAAATCAATATTTGCTCTTGATTTTTAAATATCTAATACTAAATGGAACATTTATATAGTTTACTATTTGTACATATAAATAGATATTTTTTTCAAAATATTGAGAAATATTGCAAACAGATGTAACAATATTTATTATAAATTAATAAATAAAAGTAGATTAAATCGATTACGTAATGTGTATTTGTTGGAAAATGAAACTACTAAAATAACTGCGTCAATATAATATCATTTCGATTATAGATTTTTGTGTGTGGAATCACTTTCAGTGTTTGGATTACCGCGCTTGTGTCTATATTTTTGTAAAAGGGCGGTACGTGGTGTATGAGGTCAAAGATAACTTACCAAGCACCACCAGATATCGCCACACGTCCCCAGAGGCAAGTTCTTCGAGCGTTGGGACAATTTTCCTGCTTGTGGTTTTTATGCTCGATATCATGGAACTAGATAAGTCTCCCAGCATCCTTAGAGCTTTATAGATTTTTATTCTATGTCTGCGAAGAAGTTTACGAATTTCTGTGAACAAATAATTTTTATATGTACATTTTAAACAAATTGTTCTGTATACAATTTTATTTATTATAATATTAACACTCTTTAGAACGAATAATTAAATAATATTATTAACAGAATTTAAAAATTTCTAATACTTAATTAACAAAAAATTTTATTAAATAAAATATGAGTAGTTATTTTATTTATTAAATTATTAATATTATTTGAAATATCAGTAAAATATTATAAACATTTTGGAAATAAAGTATTAAGATTAACATGTCGAATTTAAGTGAAACATTTTGATTGAATCACTGTTGTTGTCAAATAATTTGTTGTAAATAGCTAATAATTATGGTCAATAAAAATGTAGATTTAAGATGTTCTATATAGCTATGGGAGACAGATTTTAAATTATTTTACTATTAATTTTAAGTTGTAAAATGTTCAATAAACTATTATTGAAGAATATTAAAACAATAATAGTAATTAATATACAATTTTGAGGACAAGAGGCGGATATATTCACCCTATCCATTACTGAGGAACATTCGCGAGACGCGTCTTTTTCAAACTAAAGACAAAGTATTACGCCGCAATACAGCAGTTTCGCAAAAAAACCTGAACATGCGATGTAAAACATCTAAGTCCGCAAAGAGTAAAATAGTAATTATTACTGCATGTATATTAAGTACTTTTACTTAATATACATGCAGTTGAACGAGTTTAACCCTTTCCAAAATTTGCGCATTTTTATTCGTATAATGAAACATATTCAAAAATACACATAATATGCGTACACAAATTTTAAAAATAATGTAGCAGACGCAAAATCGGGAACTTCTCTTCTCATCATCACTCATTATGCATCGCTCGTTAAGCGAGTTATTTTTCTTACAATTCATTTTGCTTGATAAGCGAAATGCTCGTTATGCGAGGTTCCACTGTATATATATATTTTAAATTATATAATACATTTTGGGTATTTTTTATAATCAGTTTATTGAAATTTTCTGAGTTCATTCAGATATAAATTAAGCTTTAATTGAGAAATCTAAGCAAAAGTATCAGGTATACACATGATGTATATATTTGTTGATGTTATTGTTTCGAAGCTAAAGCGGCTTTATTCGCTTAAGTGAATAAGGTTATTATAATTTAACGGGTACAGTTTACGTAACGAGGTGAAATTATCTTTCTACCCATGTAGATTCCAACAATTTTGCTTCAGTTTCCGGACTAAGCGGTCGCTTCAGCTTTATCATATTTGCAGCAATTCCAAACATGCAACCCCTCCGGGTACCACATATTTTACATACTCATCCAAAATTATGTTCATTTATCGAAGTGTTCACGATTAGTATGAGAAGTCAGAATGTAACAATGATAAGAACATAGATTACATCATTACATTCTCATTTAAAATATATGACAATTTTAATACCTCGCATAGTCCGGATAATCGATTCCGCTGTTTAAAACCGGACTAATCGATTGCATCATTATTTTTTTGAACTAAAATTTAACTTGTTTTGAAATTTGTAATCTTGATTATAATGAATCTATATTTCAAAATTTGTACTATTCAGAATAAAATAATGTTTTACAAAACTTTGGAAATCATTATAAAAATATAAATTTCATATTTGGATCGTATTTTTATTACAATTAAAAATAATGGAAAGCAAGACAACCTTTCTGTCTACGAATGGATATATATATATATAGTAGTAAGAACTAACAGTGACTTATTTTTTCTTTTTATTAGTATACCTGTTTTAAATGTTGAATAAAATCATTATTGAAAATATTGAATGTATAAACTGTATAATATTTAAATTTTTCATTAATTTAGTAAGGTCCAATAAATTGTATGTGTCTAATGCGGCCCGCGGGAACTATAAAGTAATTAACTGCGTAAAATAATCATTTTTGTATACAAATAATTTTGTAAACTTTTTGTTTTGAACTATATTTTTCAATTGCGAAATTAAAGTTTTGTATATTTTTAAATTATGTTTATTGTTATTACATTATAAGTTATAATTGTTTTGTAATAAAGTTTTATTTATATGGAATTAATGAGAATAAATCATTAACCTATTCTATAGATAATGAAGAAAATGTGTAGATCATAGTAATCTATTTTGATATACAATAATGGTACATTTTAATGTGAACATTCCCAAATAAAAAAAATCTACTGACCCAATTAATCGGTTTAATTAGCAGAAGTATCATTTGGCGAAAGGGCATATAGTGGACACGATGGGGTCGGTCGTATGTGTGTGTGAGTTAATGTATATATGTATGCATGTGAGTGTGTATATGTGAGTGTATATTAGAGGGATTCGTATAGGATCCACCGGAATCAATTCGAATTGAAATTGATTTCGTTGGAAAAGCGAGAGGAGAAGAAGATACATTGAGCGTGAGAGAGAAAGAGCGATAATTCGGTGGCGAGGCGAAATGAAATTAACGTTTCGATTTATTTATTAACGCGCCGTGGCCAATATCTCCTATACCGATGAAATTGGATCTACTTCTTCTCTTTCAGGCGAAACACCTCAAATAGCGTCATTGCTTTAAGAGAAATGCGAATCAATGAAATTATCTATAATGCGAATGCAGTTTATGTGTACTGATTACATTATAATTAGCGGAATATGCACTCAAGTCGAGCGCAAATAATTACCAGGGCATTTACAAAGCAAAGCCAAGAATGCACTCAGCTTGGAAGTTTTGCACGAAATATGATTACGGATTCATTAAATTCTTTAGCAGTCGCTGGTGTATCTTCATAATAAGTTGAATGCAACGGAAAGTTGTATCTCGAATTTCGAGTACGATATTTAATCATTAAAACACTTCACGTTTATGTATAAATTAGTAAACTGTTTTAATTCGTTGATTTAAAATGCTGTTTTATTAATAAATCAAACGTTTCATATACAATTTTATTGGTTTGCATATCATATAAGATTATAAAGTCTTTATAAAGTACAGCAACTAAATTTTCTTCAATTCTCTTGAAATAAAATATTTATGAATTTACATGGAATGTATTAGGAGCCTATCGGTCAAAATTTACAGCCAATAGAGATTTGTAAATAAAACAAAATTACATACATATATATGATTCAAAGTTATAATTATTACATATTTAATTTAATCTGTTATTTCAATGAGATTATTGATTTTTTATTCTTTCAAATGTTTATGATTCATATTTATTTCACAAACTTCTTCAGTATCAGTATTAGTATTTAATACATAAATAATTATCTAAATTTTATATTGCAATTGCCAGAAATAGTTAATAAATAGTTTATTGTTCAGTTATTGCTCAGTTTAAAATACTTAAGAAATAAATGAAACGAATTATTTATTATAATAATAAATAAATCTGCTGTTAATACTTAGAAAAAATGAGATGTTAAATGGTTTTTATATAATTTTTGCTTAATATTTAATTAAAACAAAATGACCGTAGGTATTTTCATTATATAATATAATATTTTTTTAGATATAATGAAATAAAAAAATAAATATGTACTTACAGAAAAGCATGTAACAATGAAAAAGATGAAAGAAGAAAATTAATGCGTTTGAAAATGCACGGTCGAATGCAATACATAGGTACTATCTATGTAGTGCAAAATATGGTAATTTTAAGTAAGAAGAGAGCGGACGGGATGTAGAAAAAATGTGAAAGAGAAGACGTATGCATGGAATAACTTGGAGTACAAAGTCACTTACATATTTAGTAGAGGAATAATATTAGATGCCATATTCTTGAAGATATGCATAAAATCAATACATATTTTAAAAAAGCTTTCAGTTTTTAAATAGAATAATACACAATTTGTTATTATAATAATCTATTCAATCATTCTATTTACAAATTAACATAGAAGTAATAATATTTAATTTTATTTAGATCAAAATAGTTTTGTGTACTAATTTTAGAATTTATTTTATTAATTAAAATTTAGTTTTGTAATTTTCAGAGTATACTAGTACTAGTACTGATTGAAGACGTACTATGCGAAGTATTATTGCATTGCAACAAAAAATACAGAAAAATATGACCTGAATATTAGGATTTGTCTGTTTTTAAAAACGTTTTTTTTTGAAAAGAAATTTATATAATTCGAAACTTAAACATTTCGTCCTAACACAAAATAGTCTCTGACATAAAACGGGAATATTATTAAATAATAATATTCATGAAACAAACAGAATTAATCATTGTTCTTGACATAATGGAAATATTTATATACTTAAAAGAATGTATTGTTTTTACTCTCAATTATATCGGGACTTCCCAAATGTGGATTGAAGCAGATTATTGTAAAATTGTACCAATACGTTTAGAAGCTGTGGCTTTATGACGAATTTATTAACAAGTGAAGGCATATTACGTGAATTGAAAAAAAAATAAAAATAAAACTAAAATTACTACTAAGCTATTACATACTGTATGGACACGAATTCAATAGAGATGGCAAGCAGGATTAGTAACACTACAAAATCAACAGATTGTTCCACTAGCTTCAAAAAGTGAGATCATTTAGTTATCTGCTAAATATTATATAATATTGTCGAAGTATTGTGAGAAAAGACAGTTTTTTTAAATGTTGGATTTTGTTTAACCATACTGAATATTGAAGTTAAATTTATAATATATTGTATTTCGTGAATACTTGTGAATTTGACTATTACTATAACTAATTATTTTTTATCAAAGCTCTGAAGGTTTTACATAAATTACTTAATCACAGTTTTCCAATTCATATTGTTTTACATAATTCCTTACATATTCTAATTATAACAGTTGTGGATTATAAAGATTATAGTATACAGAAATATATATGCGAAAAAAGGAACATTTATGTATCAATAAAATGTGTACTATTATTATTTTTCTGAATTAATTAATTTTGTTTTGTAATTTTCAAACCGCTCTGCAGTGAATTATTAAAATATCACATAGTCCGTGAGGTTTTTCTGTACGTATAATGGATATTTTTAATTTTTCTACATTTATAAACTTTATTTATATTTATTTACAAAATTCTAAATATTAATAAACGTATTTTATTTATAGTTCTAAAATTAATACAACTAATCTATTTATTACTGTCTTTTAGTATGTGGAATTCTGTAAACCGAACTTTAGATTCATATATCATAATTTGTATAAAGAAACAAAAAACAAATAAATTGGGAATAAAGGAATTACGTAATACGTATCGTTAATAACTATTTGCAGAACACACAAAAATGATAGATTTATATCGATAAACTACGATACACTTTTAATTAATTAAGTTCATAGAGCTTTTGTGAGCGCTTTTATTAATGAAAGAGAAAAAGATCCGGCAATCAGGGATAGTCGAAAAAATATCAATCAATCTCTTTAATGAACGAGAGATAGATTTTTTTCCCGTGCGGAGATTCTTCCCGTTTTTGCGTTGCTTCTTTTATGTCGTCATTCGTCCTAGGTTCTTTCGCTTATTGAGGTTGCGGCGCGGAATTTAAAATCTATTTAACGGATCCGTTTCACTCCGAAAGCCTTTCTTTGATTGGAAATACCAAAAAAATTGAACGTTGCGACAATTTATGTTCTATCCATTAATATCTTTCTCAGTTGCATAATTGTACAAAGTAATTGATTTATGGAACACAATTATTTAATATCTAATAATCAATGAAAACAATATATTTTTTTTAAAATGTAATCAACCCATTATTAATTTATCGGTTTGCTATTAGCAATGTATGTAAATACCAGTAATTTTTTTAATGCCTCGGTTCCCGTACAAAAAATTAAATTATTGAAGTATTATCTATTATATGTTGAATATTATTCAATATTGTTTTTAATTTTTTTTTTTACAATTATTTAGCAATAACTTGGGGTTCGAGACAATTTTAGACAATTTCTGTTTTCGAACAATTTTACTGTATGTTCGATAACCGAGAGTCTTTTGTATTTGAATTGTTATGTTTAAAAATAATTGTAGTCATATAAATATTTAGAATGCATATCAGTATTTTTTTGTTACGTTCAGTGAATAATTCAATTTGTTTTTTTATTATATTATTATATAAATATATAATCAATTCTGTAAAACCATTAGGAATTCTATAATCCATTTCTGGGTATTATATTACTATAGATGGATGGATTATGATGGAGACATTATAAATAAAAACTAAGTGCGGACGGATGATGTAAACCAATCGGAGTTTGGAGACGGCATTTCTTTTGGGAAAATCGATAATCACCGAAAGGATCTAATAAACGACTAACTTTCAGCTACTGAAAATAACTGAGCCGGAAAACGGAGCAGATGTTGCAACATTAACTTGAATCAATTGATATTTTCAATGTTTTTTTTCTATATCTATATTACAAATTAAAATGTAATAAGTTTTCACGGGATATATTACACTTATTCATGACCAAACAAAAAAATATTTAACGTATGCAAATAAATTGAAGAAGAATACTTTACACGGAAATTATAATACTTGCAAAGTAATGTGTAAAAAAATTAATGAGTACTGTGATTATGGAAATAACGAACGCCATATAAATAATTCTTGAAATAATTGAAAGTAGAACATCATGTTTTAACGATCCCCCTGTTTCGTATTTGCGTATGTACTTTTTTTTATTTTGCAGCAGCGAAACTCTATCTAATATGTTCGGCATATGAGCGTTAATAATACGGGAATAAAAACGAAAATGGAGAAGTGTAAAAAGAGAAAATAAAAACGACCCAGATGTGTCGCATATTTGAGTCATGAAGATTAAATGTGAATTAACATATCAATCAAGTGGTGAATCAAATGGGGCACATCGAAATGCTCCCTTCAGTACTTTACTCACCCTCCGTTTGAGGAGCCGTGTCTTCGGCCACCCTTCCGGGAACTGCCTTATAGTTCATTTCCGCTTCCTGCAGGTTCTTGTTCAGCTCAAAGTTCGTCGAAACGCCCGCAAGGTATTTTAATTTTACATCTGAAGATACCTAGAAATTAAGATTTTATACAATATATATCATATTTAACATGGACTATACTAATAGTTTTTGTATATTATTAAAAAATAATAATTTTAGATGTACGATAATACCCCAATATATCGGACTGTTTTAAACCACATAAAAATAAACCGGAAAAAACTATTATCTATTGAAAAATTGTGTACTAACTATTTAGAATTTATTTTTAGTTTGCATAATTAAAATTTGGTTTGTTTTGATATTTTACAATCGGACTATGACATTTATTTCATAAAACTATTTTAATCAATATTTGTGATTAATATGTAATTATTTGTATAAGTATAAGAAGTTTAAACTAATATCTGATCAATTTGTGCACTTTTCATCACATAATTCTTCAACGAGTAAGTCATTTAAATATTTCTTATGATTTAGCGAAATTAGTACAGGTATCCCCCGACTTACGAACTCCCGGACTTACGATCAAAATTCTCAAAACTCTAACTTGTTATAAGGAGATTAGTGATAAAAAATTAACTGTCCAAACAAAAATTGATAAAATATAATATTTTTGGAATATTTACTATCTGTTTTGTTGAATTTGTTTCTTTTGTCCTTTTTTAATTAAATAATTGTGATGACTACATTAAATAGTATTTGTAAGTATTTTGTTTATTTTAATCTATTTTTTGAAATGTGAAAACCATGATAAAGTGAGTTAAAATAAGTATATTCTGAAATTTTTTAAATTCCCCCAACTTACAAACAACCCTTTGGAACGGAAATACTTTGTAAGTCGGGGAATACCTATATAGGATTTGATAACAAATCAATCATATTTAATAAAATTGAAATCTAAACAGTTTAATAACTTTGATCTAAATAGATTTTTATTAATTTTTATAAAGAAATAACACAAACATTTTACTATATTACTTAGTCTTAAATTTATGTGTATAATATTTATTGCAATACAAAAAAAAACTTACTGAAACAAAAAGTCAACTGCTGCTCCAAATAATAATAATTTAATTTTAAAATTTCAATTATAAGTTGTAAATGTATTTCAAATGAACTAAAATTTCTCATTAAAATTAAAAACTTTTGGAAGATTATTAAAGTAATTTACAAGTAAAATTAAAACTAACTTTATAAAAAAAATGGATTTTTTATTGTATTTGTCTACTATACTTCATTTTATAGAATCTGGAACATTGCTAAGTTAAATTTTATATAATAATAACTTGCATTGACTAATCAAATTAATTTGAAGTACTCATATGTGGTACATATTTATACCAAAAATGAATTAATTTGGATTGAAAACATTAAAAAAAATTATAAAAATAAATAGTAGCAAATTGTTTGAATAAATATTTTAGCCGAATAACTGAAAATCTAACAATTATTCTGTTTACCAATTTTCTCTTTAAAATTTGATAAAGTACTATTTTCCATTTGTCTCAAGAATAATAAATAAAAAAAACAGTGATTAAAATAATTTTAAGACAATGTATTAATTGTCTACAAAATATAGTATTTACAATTTTATGAAGCTGTTATTTTGAGTATATAAAAAAGATTCAATATAATTACAAACATTTCTTTCACATTCTGGAATTAGTATTAGTCGATATAAAATGATGTTTTTTGTTTGTTTTTGTTAAAAAGTTTGCAAGCGAGAAAATTAATGAGCATGTACTAAGTTCACAAAAGCTTTAAACTTGTATAATTAAGGTATTAGCCCATTAACCGTAAGCATTTAGTATGCACTCTAAATAAGCTAGTGTATGTATTGCATAGATATTTGTCGATTTTTATCAATTATTAAATATATAAGTTTAAAATTATATAATCGCATTGAAATAGTCAAAAATATATATTTCTCTTAAAAATATAAAAAATGATATAAAATTATTTCTAATAATAATAATCTTTATTAGTCACAATTGTGACCAAATTGATATCGACGTAAGACATTCTGCCCTATTATTTCTTTTTTTAGTGATAAACGTTTACAAATATAAATCATACATTATTTTGTTATTACTTTTGTAATGTATAATATTACTGTTTATAATAGTAACACAGAGTAAAAGGCGTAAAAGGAATAGTTGTATTTAAATACGTAAAAAACAACACCTTTTTCGTTGCAATCGGCGGTCTATTTAATTCAGTTAAATTAAATCGATACAAGAACGAGAATTAGTTCTACCTGATTTCAGTAAATCAGATCAAAACTGGGAATCTTTTACATTAAGGAGAAAAAGCATTGAATCGAACAACAAATGCCGTACTTAAAAAATAAAACAAGTAATTTCAGTCGGTGCTGAAAATAAGAAATACATTTTACTATCAATAAATCGCTTCGCAGTTTCGTGAAAGTTTTAGGCACATTTTTTGCATTGCGGTTGAACGTGTGTTGAAGTGATGAGGGGAATTTTTATTCTGAAATGTACAGTTAATATAAAATATTGCAGATTTTTATCGCGCATAAAGAATGCGAACTTGTCTTCATTTAATAGATAAATACTTTCTGGCGTTGGAGGAGAACTGATGATAGCGTCGTGAAATGTGGCCAAAAACTTGAATTTAAATTATGTACAGCCATCTGGAATGGATCTTGTTCTGACTTATTTTGTAAACATATATTTTCCAAGTACATATAATTTATTTCTACTTTTATTTAAATTTATCTATCAAAATGTACCAATACAAATTTATTTTCAAATATTAATATTTTGATTTTTTTAAATACCATTTTTAATTATATTATTGATGCATTTAGTATAATTGATTAACTATTAACTAAGATGGCAGATTTTGTGGGTAAGTGGTTGAAATCTTGTTAATCACTTAACATAGGTTTATCAGCATCCCAGAGGATTTGTCTTAATATACCTTTCCCTATGGCATTTTGATTTGACTGATGATGTTGAACCCGTACCTCATTAATATTTATGGATACCCTCAATTCCAATTAGAACCAATAAACCTTCAAATAATATATAGATTATTACCTATAGGATAGAAATATAAATATCGCAGTTTCTATATTTATTTAATAGACGTTTATATAAGTATATATAAAATGAAACTATTATTTTATTATTTAACGTTAAAATCTATTTGATATATTAATTGAATTTCCTTATATATGTATATATTTTTGTTGTTATTTTTATTCATATTGTGACAGAATATTTCTAATTTTTATTTATTTTGAATTTATATTATTTATTAATCTGACCAATAAATTATTTTAATTACTGTTTCACTAATATAATTTTTCAATTTTAGGTAAAAAACGTGTCTAAAAATTATATAATAATATTTTAATGAAATATTAGGTATTTTAGGCAAAAATGTTTAATTTTTCCCTGACTCTCAAACGTTCTATTTTGACGAGTCAGTTCTAATGTTGTCGTTCCTAAGAGAAATATCATATTGATATTTACAAAATATAAATACGTTTTGACAAAAGAGTTTCACATATTTCTTCCACTAGTTTCAAAAAGTGAGATATTTAAATGAAGAAATATTAGCAAGATTGTATCGATATTATTAAATAGAAGATGAATGCGATGATGATAAAACGGTGATGAAGAAAAACAAACAAGATGTGATTGTGCTGCATCAAGACACTAAAGAAAGGAGATTTTAGAATTAGAGGGTACAAAAAAAAAGGAGATTCCTTTAGATTTAGAATCATTATTTAAGACAATTGAACCCAGCTTGGTAGCAAGAGAGAGTTTTTTTTCTATTTCCGGAAATTTCGTATATGCAATAAATCTGTAGACATTATTTTTAATTTTGCATATGTAAATAAGAATGAAATAACTTCGTAAAAATCTTTTTTCTCTATTTTTTGTGAAAATTCGAAAATTGGTTTAATTTGGAGATTCGAAAAATGGTTTTTAAAGAAGTTGGTTTCTGTATAAACCCTAGTTTTATCTCATCCTAACCCTTCAATTTATATACACTTAGTCCAAAGTCGCTTCCTTCCTTAAAATTGTAATATCTCAGTTAGAGCGACGGATTTATTTTTTGAATTAAACACATTATTTATTCGAAAAGTGATATTATGTTAAGTTCATTATAAAATACAAATGTATCTTCTAGCCACAGTCATTTATCTTTGTTATAATTAATATTTATATTTGGTCAATAAATTGTTATGTTAATCTTTTTTTCTTTTATTTTAATGATTAAATACATAATTTTTATTTGTTTAGAAGCAATTTGTATAATAAATATCAATATTATGATTTCAAATTTATTGACTGCGGTCAATAGCCACTTGTATATTGTTATTCAATAAATTTTGTTTATTATTAATTCAAGAGAAATATAGGAATGTAAATTGATATGATATTATTCAAGTAAATTATTCATAAATCGATGTAAATTATAATAATATTCAACCAAATACATTTATAAATTCATGTGTGACTGGAATTTACCCCGCGTATTTTGTTATCGATGCATATTATTGGTATTGCATTGCATAACTTATATATAGGATTATTATGCATCTGCAGAAGCGTGAAGCAGTAACCACGCGACGCATTGGATTGTGAAAGATCTTGTCGCAATGATTTATTATTGTTCCATTCGAAAGCCTCTCAACTACACAATAATCGTAACATACATACCTCATTTGTATTATAACTGACAACCAAGCCATCAGACATCAAAGTTTCACACAAAGTCCGATCTCTTTGAGAACAGTAGTCATGCATTGCACCCAATAGCGGCACCAATTTATCCAACTTTTCTTGTAATAATTTCGAAGCCTCCCTGGCCAATTGGCACTCTTGCATAATGTATTTAACGCGTTTCGAAATGTTATCACTTTCTACAAATAGATAAATAATGCATTCATATAGTAAGAATCGTGAAAGAGTAACACACAAAAAAAACTTACCTGTCCTAATGTTTCTCAAGGTTTCGAAGATATTTAGTAAGCCAAACGCGTCAGCCAGATTCTTTTGAAACGGAATACCAATAAGTTCTTTGGTATCTGAAAGGAGGGAGCAAATCCACGTCAGCGTAAAAACTTTTTCACTCGAGCAATACTTTCACCTTCTAAATCTTCATCAATGGCCTGCGTGGTGAATTCCGCGGCAGTTGTAGTCACAAATGAGATTTGCATGTCCGTATTCTTAACGTACTTCTGCAGATCCTCGATAATTGTCTTCGCTCGGTTCGGCGAATCCATTATGGATTTAGAAATAATCTCGTTGGTTGTAAGCATAAGTACAATGTTGCCTCTTAAATATAAAATTACTGTGTTCTTGTTTGTTTACTTGTTACAAAAATCTTACATTAGGAGGACGAGTAAGATGTACAGGTAGCATGAGAGAGTCCGTTTGTTGGATTCGGCTGAAGGACTTAAGGATGAATGGTCCTGACGTCTCTGGAGATCTCTCCTCGGGCAACAGATTTGGCTCGCAACGCTGCACGAAATACATAAAGCCGCAACAGTCCAAAGTATAATCCATATGCACACTAAACCCTCTAATTTAAAAATCTAAAATAAAATAAGAACATGTATTATTTATAAAATAAAAAAATGCTTAATTAGTTCTTAAGTAACCTATTAACTGACTCATTATTGTATAATAATAATTAAATAAGGACTGTAATGTTTTGAAACGGTTTTTTTTTTAATATTTGTTTTTATATGTTTATGTTTTTTAATTGAATTTAATAATATAAATAATATTATTATTATTTATTAATTAATAAATGCACATTACATATTTTTATTGGACTATTGGATTATCGACCCACCGAGGTCTTCAGAATTATTTAACCCTATAATGACGCCTGATTTTTAATTTGAAGACAGATTTTTATTTATTTTTATTCTTTAATTTCATAGTTTCAAAACTTTATATTTCAGATGAGACATACGTTTTTATTAAATGTTACGAAAACGTCATCCCGGACTGGTTAAATTGATTTTTATTTTTTTAACTCTTTGTACCCGTATGTGACGTTGGGAGTGACATTACAAATTTGCTACAATCATCATTTGCTGTTTGGGTTTCTCAGTCGATTGTTTTAATTTGAAAAACAAAACAAAAAATGAAAATAAAAGAATTTGTTTCACACAAATTCAACACAAGTTCATTGAACATTTAATTTAACCATAGTTCATTATTTTCATTTATTAATTTAAAAAAAAATCGAGTTCAAAGGGTTAATAATTAATATTTTCACAAGCACTATAGATATGGTTAATTTATATCAGTTGATTTATTTAATAAGTATTCCTTGCATTTTGTAATTAATGTTAGAATTATAAATTTATTAAAATATTTATTAAAATAGAATCCCTTAACTGTATTTCCAATGAAATCAGCATCAACTCTCTCTTGGAGTTTTGCATTTCTCGAAGTCCTAACATCCTCCCTAACTGTAAACATTCTCCCTATACCATTTTCCAATGATTAACTTTCCTTTAAGTATAATTTCCTCTGTTCCACTCTATCCTGTTTATTTAAATTTATTAAATAAAATCATTAGGCAATGTATTTTTTATTTTGTTTCAAATCTTTTTAAATAGAAGTATTTGTTATTTATACAATGTTTTTTTTTTTGCTTATACTTGATGTATAGTTTTTGGACACTTGGGAATCTTATTGAAGTTCAATTAGTTATATTTTACTCTAAAATTGATTTGAAAATTTAATTTTACTGCAGAAACATTCAACTCTACTTAAAACAATGAAAAAGATATGTTCGTTACAAAGATTTAGAAAATCTTAGACCGTACTAAAATTATAAAATTATTGAAAACTAACACATCCAATATTGATTTAAAAGTGTAAGATAATTTGATTAAAGTAAATGAAAATTTGCATTTTATACTTATTGCATTCATGATTTATTACGTTTGTTATATATTTAGAAAATACTCGTTCCTCGTTATATTTTTATAACGAATTACTGAAGTGGTAGACTTGTGAACTAAATTAGATAAGAGACAACATAAATGTAAGTTCCAGGAATGTGTATGTAGTATCGATTATTTTTATGCGGTTTTAAAATACTCGATTAATAATACAATTTTGTCATTTACTGAATGTTATTATAAAATAGTTTGCAAATAAAATGAACGCTAAATAAATATTTTGCATTATGTAAATAGATTTAACTATATTATACAAATTGCATATAAATTATTGAAATCAACAAGTAATGTATATAATGGCATCAAATAATAATTAATATATTTATTTTGTTTTAATAAATAGTTCTTGTAGAATTGCTGATATTAGCATTTATTTTAATATATTATAAAAAAAATCACAGACTTCGGTTAAACTGATTATAATTAAATATTATAATTTAAAGATCAGAAATAGATAAAATGGTAACAAAATAAACTAAAAAGAAAATGTAAACCAATGAAAATAAAGAAGCAAATCTAAATACACTCGGTCCTCTTTTTATGCGTACTCTTTGAAGTTATGCGGTTTTTATTTCAAGAAGCATTTTTTTTAAATAACTATTTTAGGCCATTTTGACACGTTTTGACATAAATTGGCAAACCATTTCATCGAAAAAGATGATAATTCTGAACGAGCATTCAAGTTTCAACGCGAGCTTCAGAATTGCATTTCTGGATATCAGGAATTGTACAAAAAATAGCAAAGCCATCGTAAAGTTTAATCACTGATTAATCAAAGGGAAAAATCAACGTGCGAAGTTGAGACTAATTTTACTTGTGAAGAATCATTATCTTCAGGACATAGATCTGATATGCTGACTATCTCTTCTAGCGATGAAAGTGATTTTGAACCAGTTCTCAAATTATGCCAAACACTCTCATAAAAAATTTCTGTATTTTTTGTAAAAAAAATTTTTTAGAATTATATTATATTTTTCTGAAATTTAATAAACTTGTCTCTGATTGTTAACGTTTTTATAAAATTATGAATAAACATTTCAGAAAGAATATATGCGATTTTATGCGATTTCCGGTATATTGTAACTCATTGATTTAGTTTTATGCGGTTTTAAAAAATTATGGAACGTATCCTTTATTTTTATACGTATGTTTAGTCCTTTTTTGTGCGATTTATTTTTATGCGTTTTCCTGTGGAAAAATAAATAAATATCTAATAATAAAACAACAATTCGAATTAAATTTAAAAAAGACCTATCGATTTTAGTCTTTCCATCCAATTAAAAATAGTATTTAATAAATTATTATTAGATCAAAACCATGCCAACAAGACAGGAAAGCATGTTATGAGTTAGAAGCTAACTTTCTGAAGCATCAGTTCGTAAACAGTGTTATGCAACTTGTAAATGACCTGATTTTCAAAGCTCTCAAATGTACGTATTTGTGAAAATCGTATTAGTAATAGTTTTCTACGAAACTTTATAAAATAAACATACTTTATAAATTTTATTTTCATTCATTGTAACTCAGTGTAATTATTTAATTATTTTTAATATTCGATTGAAAAGTTTAAAAATATTTATTATATAAGCGGAATTTAGATATATTACATTTCTCTTAGGTTTTATTACGTTATGTTATTGATTTTATCATTAATTTTACTGTACTATTATTTATACACTTTGTGTAAAATACCACTTTGAAATAATACTTTAAATACTACTATGAAATAACACTTAGAAATGTATTATTTAAAATATTCTAAATTGACCTTAATTTCTATTCCAAACAACTCAAATCCAAAATAAAATCGACATCCCGTCATTTCTGATAGACTTTCTGCCTTTTTTTTATTATAGTTGTTTTTATTTATATTATGGATGTAATTTTTTAATTTTATTATTCTGGACACAATAAATTGTATTATATTATAATATGTTTGTATGTTTATATTCTAAATGTTTAGTTTTTTTCTTATTATACATTTTTGAATAAATTTATTACAAACAAATTTAAATAAAACCTTTACTATTGATCACAATGTGTATTTTCTTCGCTTATACTTTGTTGGTATTTATGTAAATTGATGAGTTTTGCTCTCATACTCATTTAAATTACTTCAGTTCAGCTTCAATACAAACTTTTCCAATTTGTATTTTAACGCAATTAAAATCTTGAGCTTCGGAATAGGTAAGGTTCATTTGACATTGACATGGTATGAGAATTAAAAACGAAATTAAAGCTTCGCCGGCTCAGTTTCTCGCGAAATCTTCATTAATTCCGAATTACATCAACGCAACAGAAAAAAAAAACGTTACGACATAAATGATATTCACTCTAATTGGCTTTTCCATCTATTCAATGTCATTGCATGAACGTGAATTTACTTAATTAAACTTAAGACACTTAGGAAAAAGCGATTATTCTCTATATCTGATTAGTCGGAAAATTGAATTTGCGTAGGCACGTAGGAATAAGCAACGAAAAGTTAGTAAATTCATGCTGGAATGTGTTTTCCTAGCGCAGGGCCGAGTGTTAGAAAAGGGCGAACGGACGTGGATTAAAAAGAGAAGGAATGATTTAAATGTAATTAATTACAATAGTTCCGAGGATTTGGGAACTTATAAATTAGGGCTTTAATTATTTCCGTTAATTAAGGCACCATTGGAAATTAATGAACGCCGCAGTTTACCACTCAACGTACACAGTATTCCCAAGTTTGTAATTACAAATAATTGTAACTCATCTTTTCGGTAACTTTGTCTCTCGGTTGTATCATGTCCCAATTTGCAACATTTGAATTATTGAATTATTTAAATTAATTGTATCTACAAAAATAAAATACAAACACGTATTATTTTTTTTATTAATAAATACCTCGCATAGTGAGGCTTTGGTCAATCCGGATTCACACTATAGTTTAAACTATATTTTAATTGAGAAAAATAAAAATAAATTCGACACAAAGTTTTTTTTAAATATTTAAATAATCATATTTCTTTTTCATTATACAGGCAAGTATAGTTGTGTGTGGTATATATTTGGTTCCTCAATTAGTACTGTTTCAAACAGATATAGACGCAACAAATTATCCACACTATTCGAGTTATTTCTGAACATAAATAAATGGTCAAGTATATTTTAAGCACGTGAGAATCACTTAAATTTATATATTAATTAGTGAAAGTAGGAAATAGAGAAGTGATCCAATTGCATACAAAATTATTGCTTGTTTTTTCTTATATACATTTTTTAAATTAAAAAAATATTTATTTTTTTATTAATTGCTCTAAATAAATGTTACTTTTTGAATATTTTATTTTCAATTAGAAAAAATAATTAACAAATTATGTTTTTTATTAATAACAAATACGACTGTTAAATACTTTCGAAGTGTTATTGACCTCAATTGATTTAGTAAATTTAAGTAGTGTTATTGATTTTTTTAAGTTATCAGAAAGTATTAAGTTCAAATTAAGTTTCTTTTATTCTTTATATTCAAAGCTATCGTTTCTAGTATTTAACATTTTAATGAGTTTCCAAATATTTATATAAAATGAATAATTCAGGCAGCGTTTGTTTAAACAAATTATTTACGTATGTGTTATTTAGTTTAAGAAATATCTCCTTTCCAAACATAAAAAATATATCTTTCTTAAAAGCATTTTTTTTCATTTGATTAGTGAGAAAATTTGAGAAAATATATATTTTGATTTAGATTTGTATATTAATAAATATCAGTTGTAAATTTTATATTTCTTCGTACATTGAAATAAAAAAATAGACAGAATTATTATGACAGAAAAAAAAGATCACTATTTCTTTGCAATTAAAATATACGAAAAAGCCATTAGACCTTGAATATTTAAATACTATTTATTAAAAAAAAAATATATAAACGTTTAGATTAATTTTACGTTTTAGTTGTAAATACTAAAACTAAAATAATTTGATCACAATTTTCATATTACCAGAAAAGAAGTTAGAATAAAATATATTGGAATTCCTGTTTACTTCTGGAGTTTCTAAAATAATTAATAATAATCTTGCTTTATTTATTTACACATTTTAATTTGGACCAAAGGACTATCAACTTAAGTCTTTCCGTGCGGTAATAATGTAATTTAATATATTAGATTTTGTTGTTTCAAATATTCGTTTTACATGTTAAATAAAAATTGTATTGAAAGGGAATAGAATTGTTTCTGGAGTAATGTTTTTATATTAGTGCCAAAGTAAACGTTTAGGGAACATTGGAAAAGTTTCCATTCGAAACGTTACGATGCATACAATGTAAGTTTTGGAAATCGTCTTAAGTTTAGAGTAAATGCGTAATAACCGGAGAATGTAATTGTTCTGTGAATTTATATTAAGGTTATTTTCAATGCTCAAATTGAATACTGTTTAATTCTCGATTCATTTCAAATTAATTTATTAATTAACTTACACTAAATTTATTGGAATTTCTTTATTATACTTCTGATTTCAATGATTGTTACCAATTTGGTTTATAATATTTTGTATATATTTCTAAATTTGTTAGATATATTCAAATGAAGGATCTTCTAAATATAGTTTATACGTTTTTATATATAAAATATTTATCTTATTCCTTGGCTTGGATCTACGAACATTCGAATGAATATATGTCATCTATAGACACGTCAGGAATTTTAATCGGGAGTTATAAATCCATTGAGTTTAATACTGCCAATTGGTTTTAGCGTGGGGTGAATACGAATTGCGGACGGCGTTATCGGATATTCGGCCTATTTACCTGTAGTAAAAGGAGATTGAATGGCACGCGTCGCTCCGCCACATCCTTCAGCATTCCTGGAACAAAAACGTTAGGAATTTCAGGTTGAGTAGCTACGCATTATGCGTATGCTCTATTCAAAACATTTCGAGAACATTACACAAAGCAATCTGATTATTATGATTTTTTTAATTCAATCGGTTGGTGGTTGCCTTTGATCGAGTGAGATTTTTTTTAGTTTTGTTGTTTTCTCAACTCGAGCATTCGAGTTTCATGAAATTGCTCTAACTCAAACAGAACTTTCTGTCTTGAAGAGAAAACCATCGAGTCTGGAGTAATGTTGACGCAGAAATCCGAAGACATATTAAGCATCTTCCCTTTTCTCTTAGCGACGGTTAGACTTTTAACTGTTTGCCTTCAATATTTGTCCTGTCTGTCAATAGATGAGAAATGAACGATTATTCATAGCCGTCTTCTGACAGCTCATCGATAATAATTCAATAATTCAACATTTTGCTGCATCCGCACTCGTGTTTTTTGCACATTAAATTTCATCTAAATTAAAATGATTATCATCGTTTTTTTTAACACGCAACGGAAAACTGTATCATTTTTTTAAATAAATGTAAATATTAATAGTTAATTATCGTTGCTGTTCGGATGACTTTAAGATAGACGTGGAGATGTGGAGTCGTGGCTCTGATCCATTATGCGACAGTTACCTAAGGGGAATCGAGCAGGTTGTAAAGATCCCATCAACGTGGAGAAGAAACTGAATGGTGACTGGATCTCCTGAAGGCTTTCTGCGACAACAGCTTCTCCATCGGGACATACTGGAAACTGGAGTTTCCTCCCGGTGCCTTCGGGCTTTTTGTATCCTTCGTAAGTTCCCGTCCAGGTCCAGTTTGAACTACAACAACATAATTTGTTAGAAAACCTTAACAACGTATGTTACAATAAAATTTAGTAATATTACACATCGCTTATAATAATACATAAACTTAATTTGTAAATTATGCTAATTTTGTATTGTCTTATAAATATTGAAATACCTCACTTAATGTGTAAATTTTAATTCAGAAAAATAAAAATAAATATACATAAATGAACTGTTTTTCTTTCAAGTCTCTTTTTTATTCTATATCACTTATTTTCTCAATTAATCCTGTTTCAAACCGTTTGGTATATAGACGATTATCCGCACTATATGAGGTACTGCTGTATATATTAAAAACAAATTTGTGTATTTTATAAAAAATGAATTTCATATATTTTCATAAAATAATTTTCCAATAAAAAAATTACCTGTATTTATGAAATTCTTAACTTGACTACATATTATAATAACAGATGGCAAAAATGGTGGCATTAAAACAGAAATCCTATATTTTATATCATTTGTCATAAGAATTTTATAAAATACATATGTTTTTGTGTAAGTTCACACTAAGTTCTAAAAACGACGTCGATTGTAAACATCACTATTGTGAATAACAGAAATATATATTTATTCAATTATTGAAATCCAATTAATCCAGGAACTAAATACATACAAAATAGACTTGACTGTGTAAAGAGTACATTTTTATATATAAAAAATAATGTAATGTGCCAATTTATTACAATTTTGCTGAATTTAAATTTAGTTTGTTTTAAAATTTTCATACCGGATTATAGTGTATTCAAATTGATTCAAATAGCACTTGGCAAGGTATAACATAATAAATAATATTAATAATGATATTTATTTTTTTATTATAATATGTACTATTTATATTAGTATTCATATGAATATAAATTAATAAAAATATTATTAATATAATTATTATAAGACAGATTACAAAGACAGGTTTTATAGATTGAATTTAAATAAAACTAGACAAATAATTGAAACTGATTAATATGGCCTAGGCCCGGTTTATAGCTTATGCGAAATGTGTGGCTTAAATAAAAGACGCTTAGATCTAAAAAAATGGTATTAGTCCTTTGATATAAGTGTCATAGACAACTAAAGTTTATTTTCGAATTTACACTTATTACGTGGTAAAAATAAAATTATTAAAGTACAAATTTTAAAATTATAAAGAAAAATACCTAACGGTATTTTTGTAAATATTTTTGACGAAAGTTTGACCAGTATTTGAATCAGAAGGTATTAAGTTGTCAAAAAATACCAGTAAATAATCTTTTTAATTCTACAATATTTTAAGGGGTTTACCATGTTTGTAATGAAAATCGTAGCCATGGGAATTAATTGACAATGGCTTACAACCATCTTCTCACAGATAATTCCATGAGTGTCGAAAAAATAATATGAAGATAATTCTAGATGTTCCTTAGATTTTTTTGGAATTTATTAACATTGTAGATACAACCGAGTAAACTTAGGCTGTTTTAATTTCTTTGAATTAAAATAGCCTAGTTCTAAAGAATTTTTGGACAAGAATATGACAATGAAGCCACTATGCGAGGTCTGTACTCTCACATTAATATGATTTTAGTTTCAAGTGTTTGTCATTCCATTTATTTGGTCATTGTTGATACAGTAAAAAAAGCTATAGAAAATGTCAATTTTTCAACCATCAAAACAAAAGTCCTTATAATTTCCAGACTAATTTTAATTCAGAGACAGATTTTTTTTACGAAGAATCAGACATTTTTCCAAATGCACTGATTGCATTAAGAGTTCTATTGACTTAAACAGTTTCAGTTCGTAAGGATGGGAGAACTTTTTCTAAATTAAAAATAATTAACAATTACGTGCGATCAAACATGGCCCAGGGAAAAATGAATGGTTTGGCAATTATTTTAATTGAAAACGAGATTGAGTTAATTAACATTGATGAACTACTACAAGAATTTGCAAAAATGAAAAACCGACTAGTTTCATTGATACAAATATATAAAAAAATACAATATAAATGTAAGTAAATTTAAATATGTTAGATATTTTTTTTTGTATAAAACAGTTTTTATTTTCTATTCAGTATATACACTCCCATGAATGTACCAATAAAATAAACAATCAAATATAATAATAATTTCTGTTTTGTTATGTAACCAATTAATTTATATTATATTAGTAATGATAATAATAAATTATAAATATAATAATTTTAATATTGTATTTGCCCTTTGGTCAGAAGTAATTATTTATGTTTAAGGTATATTTAATAATAATAATATTTAATTAATTGTTTACATGAACTAAGACAATCTTTATTTTCAACTGTTCTGTGTTCTCTGGTTACCCAAATATGATATAGATCTCTTTTTTCGAAAGATGACACATATTTGTGCACTCATAAGTAAATTTTATTTTCAAATTACTTTCAAAATATTATAATAAAAGTCCCAAAATATACCAGAAGTCCGATTAACTTTTGATTTTTTATTTATGAATTATTATTATATTTGAACGGTTTTTGTTACTATATGTAAATATATGCACTGTGTTTTTGTTTCATTATTATTCTTATTATTTGGAAATGTAAAATTATGTTTTTTTTTTGTAATGTTGCAATAAATATCATTGTTATTATTACATTTACTATTTTAATATGATTATTTTTGTTTATTATGCTACGTGATGTGCTGACCGTGAAAATATTTTAAGATTTCAAGGGGGGCGCAACTACTAAAAGGTAACACAATAACAGCTGTACTGAATAATATAATCTAATATAATTAGATAAATAAAAAAGGTCAGGTTAATGTTTATAAATTTGATTTGATAGTGAAAGATTATTGAGGTATCCTAAAATATACGTATTGGCATTGCACTATAAAATATGACGTCAATTATGGGTTTACATAGGTTTACAGCGACAGCTTGTCACTCAATCCACTTACTGATATATGGGTAAAGTGCCGAATTAAAAAAAATAGTCAATTGACACTGCCCATATAAATTACGTATTTCAATTCAGTATTTCCTGTTATCTGAAAATTATAAGCTTTACAAAGTATGTCCATTCATTTTGATCTTCTTTTTATTCGTATTTGGCATTATTTCATTTTTTCTGCAGGTTTATTTTAGTACGTTATTTATAAAAATGTTAAAAGCAGTTTTTTTTATTTTTTACTGATTTACACATTAAGAAATTCGTCAACGTTCTACACGTTTTACACAATTTTTTTATGTATAATTCATATTTTGTTAGAAGCACCGAAAGGGTAGCAGAATAATAAGTTATTAACTGATTATCAGAAATAAAAATATATTTTAATCATTGCGAATAAATATTATTCCCTCATAACATAATAATATAATTAATATGTAATGATCTACAGAAAATATTATCGACTAATTCAATTTATATTTATGTAAATCTTAAACAAGGTTACGTATGGATTCATTTTTTTGCTTCACAATGGATATACATTAAAACTTACGTAAGGTTTTCTTCATCTTTCACTGCAATGTTATCACATTCAGTGTCGTTATGTAAGTCATCGTCGGATAAGAAAATTGTTTTGTTATTAAAAGTTGTAGAATTCGATATTACTGAGACAGTACAATTCGATAAACAATTGCACAAATTTACTTCACAAATAATTAGTAAAAATAGAACTAGTTTATTATTCATTTTGTTCATTTGCTCATTGTATTTTTAAATAAATTAGGTCTATGTGTTGCGAAACGCGTGAGGTCTTTAATTTCACTGACGCATATAACTTCTGTTGTACTACTAACCTAACTATGTATGGATTCCCTACAAGAATTTTTTTCCTGCTCCCTTTCGCACAAAAAAATTCTGTAGAACTAATCCGATTATAGTCAACAATAATCCTATCAAGAGTAAATACATATTGGAAGTAAGGAATTTTTTTATTACAAATTGGATGTTTCTTGAAATATACAGATGATTCCGCTTAATCGGGACACATCGGGACTAGTACATTTTGTCCCTATTAAGCGAATGGCCCAATTATCCGAAGTTTCACAAAAAAATACATGATTAGTGTTTTTTAAATATTTTATTTACTAATTTGCACAAAATTGTATGTTCCAAAACTGTACCATTCTGGGATGAACGATGGCCCTTGTGCTGCAAGCACTGAGAGTGCTTACAAAGGGCCTGGCTTGACCAGGATTCGAACCGGCGCCAAGGAAATTGTGGGTAGGGAGAGTTAACCATTCGGCTATTAGTCACCCTGAAACAATAAATATGTATGTATATATTATATTCTAAAAGAAAAATTGTGTTGTTCAAACTTCTGGAAGAATTTGTTCTGCGGAAGTGGTTTGCATTCTGTTTTTCCAAGAATGAAGTGATACAAAAATGACGGGAATTCACACACAGTTACTGTCTCGATTAAACGGAACATTATCCCGAAAAAAGCGGAGTCATTTTTTGTTATTTTCTCGGTTTTGTTTCAGTTCTTTAGGATTTGTCTGTAATAAGCGGCTGTCGATATTAACCGTTGTCCCAATTAAGCGGAATCGACTGTATATTGTTACTATTATTAATGTTATTGTTACATTTATATTAATTATAAGCTTATTCTAATATTAATTATTTTAGATAGTAGATAAAGTAACTTCACTCCATAAATCGTATATTTGTTGTCGTATTAATTTTTTGATAATATATTGGTGGTATGAAATTACAATAATTTTCTGTAAATTATTATTTTAACAGACGTCATTGTGACATTAATTTTATAACATCGTGATATTGATGTCATTCTGACTAAACGTCAACCTAACACATTCACCATACTGACATTGATTAAGTCTTGAATAATAAGCAAAAATACATCAAATTGAAGTTATGTTGCTATTTTGCCTTAATCCATAATTTTTTTGCTTGAAGGCGCTACTCGATTTTTAGATTTGCAATGGCACGCCATCACACAGCGTCTTTGGTCTCCTAAAAGGAACAGTCAGAGCAGCTTGCCTTCACTTCCAACGGCTATTGTAGACATCTCATTTTGCTTTGGTAAAATCTTTATGTTTCATGGGTACAAGAAGATAAATCGGATGAATTCGGCATCATTCGTAACTTTTGCAAATGTTTAATTAATCATAAAACTTGAGAAGTCAAGCAAGTAAGTAACAAACATTCCAAACATTTCTTCAATTATTCTTCACATTAATAATTAATACATGTTGTGTATTATAATGGGTTACAGTTGTTGCGTCAATGGATGTTTTACAAAACAAGAAGACAAAATAGGGTTGAGATCATATCCACCCGTTGGTTCATTGTTCATTTGAGCAGTGTAAACTTGCAACAATGAATGATTCACTGAATAATATGGAAAACTACAGAAACAGACCTATGTTCTTAAAGTACGATTTTCCAATATTGACAGAATATTGATGATAATGATAATATAATTATTGGTAAAAATTCGAATTACTTATAAAATAATATAAGTCTTAAGAAATGGGCATTGTTGTCGAATCGAATTCCCATATAAGTAATTATTTTATAGTTTAAATAGTTGAATTAAATTTCTATTAATAATAACGTTTGTTTCTTAAATTGGACAAATGAAACATGTGTGAGAATCTATGATGAAAGAATGCGTTCACAATGTCGGAGAAGTAATTATTTTATAATTTTAATAGTATAACTTAAATTTCTATTAAAAAATGTTTGTTTCTTAAATTGGTTAGATGAAATACGAACGTGGAGCAGAGTTTGGTGACTGCGTTCTGGATGAATTGCTAGGCTTGGATCACCAGTTCTTGGCATGTAAAAGAGAGTATTTGCTCGGATATACTCGAGAGTGTATATAAAGACTTTTGCATACGTGCCTCCTCGACTTTAATATCTTTCTCGATTCTATATGTATTTCGACATATTTTCACTATAACAAAACAAACAAAAAATACGTGGGAAGTCGATTTTATACTTTTTTCATTCTTCGGGGGTCCTTTAAATTTTTTGAGTGCAAACGGGATCGCTGACCAAAAAGTTTGAGAAACACTGCTCTAAAATACGGGGAAAATCACATTTGACTAAATAAAAAAAATATGGTAATTAAATTTTCTGATGGTAAATAAATCAACGCAATCAAAACCAAAATATATGAATATGATTTTATACGAATTAAAATTAGCAATGCAAATAAATTTATTTAATTGTATTTCGTGCATTGTACCATATTCTGATGGCAGAATATGTTATACGTCCACGTAACGAGTTCAACGTGCGAAAATTTAATTTATAATAATTAACTATTAACAGCTTTTCCATTTGTATATATACAATTTCGAGAACCGTCCTTGCGCTATAAATGTATATCGTATTATATAAAAACTTCGCTGATTGCATTAGTATAATTGCATAAGTGTGTTCATTGTATATAAACTTAATTAATTTATAATATCTAAATTGAGTTGATTATTACAATTTTTGCATTATTATTTGTTCAGTTATTTACATTACGGCGACTAATTGCCGAATGGTTAAGTCTCCCTACCCACGTGCTAGTGGGCACAGGTTCAAATACTGGTCAAGCCAGATACTTTGTGAGCCCTCTCGGTGCTTACAGCAATACGGCCATCGTTCATCACAGATAGACAGAAAAATGAATGAGGTTCAGCACATGGACCTTAAGCCAAGTCGATGGACAATGACAGTGTTAAGTATAGCAGCAGATTCACAGTGAAAGGAAATAGTGGAATCGCAGAGCATCAATATACTACTGAAGTTAACCTACAATACGACAGGCAACCTACAAATTAAAATTAAAAAATATCATCATAATAATAACTATCCACCGGGAAAGATTATCCATTTAATGTCAACCGCGATCTTAAAATTATCTCAATGTTAAAAAAGTTATTTACATTAATTATTATTAATGATTATGAGTTGATTTTTATTTAATTAATATTGTTATTGTATAAAAATGTTTTTGTATGTGATTTTATTTAAATATTTTTATTGGTTCTATTTTAGACCATAGGGATACCGTTCTCAGTATTTCTGTTTGTATAATAATTAAGTACATACTATGGGTAAGCCGATTATTTCATAAATGCATCAGAGCTATTATAATGAATTATTGATTTATTTTATTTTTTCTAATATTCGGGGTTCAGTAAAATGGGTATTTTACCAAACTAAACTAAAATGACAACTGAAAAATATCATAATGGGTAATGCTGGTGTAAGTGAATATACTTTAGAGTAATAAGTAAAAAAATCCCTTGATATAATTCTCTGTAGAATAAAAAAAACATGTTATGGCACAATGCATGTCTTACTAGGATTTGTACAAAATTTCTTTTAAATAATCTGGTTTTGGAAACTCAATTTGTCTATAAAACCGGTTTAAAATGATTTGTAAATATTCCCAAAAAAATAGAGAGAAATGATTTTTTTATTTATTTAATATATACAACATTAAAAAATATATATTATATAAAACTATAAGAACATAAAATGTACTCCATACAAAACTATATAAAAACGTATAACTACAAAATATTATTTTATTTTTCTCAGAAAAAAAAATGATTTTAAATAGTATACATGTGCAGATCTATTGCTCACGCAGGTCCTTGTTTTACTTAATAAAACTAAAAACTCCATTTGTGTGTCTTACGACAGGACATAGTTTTTTCAAGATATTTGTGACTTATTTTTCCATAGATTTTTTTTAAAACTATGCCTTGATTTTCTTTTTCATCATTTTCATTGTAAACTTAATCATCTTACACTTTAAAGCTATTGAAGAAATATAGACGACAATATCTAAATGTTCTTTGCATTTCTATCAAGACCTCTAAATCTCGTTTTATATTAATGAATATATGACTTAATTCCTTCCTGATTTTTCCTTTGTTTCATAAAACTTATTATTTAACAATATTCCCGTATTATACCACAGGCGATTTTATCTGAAAATGTTTACGTTTTTAATCAAATTATTAAAATAATTAATTCATTTTTATATAGCATTGACCTATGCTCCAAAACCGGTTTTTTATATGCATTTTCTTCAAAAAAACCTGTAAAAAAAATCGGATTTGAAAAAACTGTTATTATTTCCTTCTCCTTTTTTAGACACTGTAATTTTATCATTTATTGTAGAAAAAAGTAAATATGAATTAAATTTAATTAATGTTTTTAAATTAAAGATATGTGATTTTTCTGTGTTTCTGTGTTATTTTATATTATAAAATCTATTTAATAATTTCACATAAGATTTTTCGTCAGAAAAAATATAACAGTAATATTATTAAAATCATATGCATAGGGAAGTTAAAAAAAAACATCTTTCAGCATTATGTATCGTTATTTTTATGGTCTCCAGACCTTATGCCTGGTTTTACAAATTACCATAATTTTCTTTCGTCTGAAGTATAAATAGATAAAAATATAAACTTAGTTATTTATTTTTCATATATCGATTTTGTCCTGTCAATATTATAAATTTCATTGTTTTATTCCTTCCAGACCTGAATTTATGATAAATAGAAAATATTTTTTATTATAAAATATTGTATGGTACTCATACAAGAACTCTCTCCTATGGCTTCCTAAATAGGTATTCAAACTAGAAAGTACCAAATGCCACCATCCGGCCTATCAGATACAATAATGCTTAAAAAATATTTAAATTTTGATAGGCACATGGCACGTTGTTTATGGCCACCTACCTACCTACCTACCTACTATTCATAGGAATTGTGTATGGTTCTTGACGTTTATCATCTTCATTATCTGGTTTTTCTTCGATATCTTAGTCAATTTTATTATTTAAATTTTGTTTTTTGTCTTCTATATCTGAATCGGGTAGTGTTCATATAGCAACCTGTACATCTCGCATAAACTGCACAAAAACAGACTTGATTAGATGCAAAATATTTTATATACAATGGAAAGTATTAATATACAAACAAATAAATTACCACAACCACTGTGCTTCAATTATTTCCGTAATGTAAAATTTATTTAATTAAATAAATTATAATAAACTATTCAATATTCTATATAGATACTTTTATAAATAGTATATTGTTAATATTTCATAGTTTTGAACTTGAACTTTTTGTAAAATTTATTTTTATTAATTTTTACATAAGAAATTATTAAATGTTTCATTATTTTTGTTATTTATTCTAACAATAATTTCTTCATTCATTTCAATTTAAAAACGACGTTATTTGTAAATTGTTCCTGGTAGACTGTTGTAGATAAACAAAAATATAGAGAGCTTAATGTTTTTGGCAACACTATGATTTAGCAAATAATAAAATAAAACAGAAAACAAGTTATTGGAAAGCATACTGTGAAGAAATAACTACGAAATAGAAGAATAAAGTGAGTGGTATTAAGGATAGAAAAACTGCTTTGCGTTTCGATTTTCCCAAATAAATTTACAAACAAAACTCGTTGGCCCGCTAATACGATTTACTGTTTACCGCCAGAATATGCGGCATTTCTTTCGCTACAAGTAATCCCTAAAAGTTTTCTTGGAATAATATCAAGTAATTTCCAGATTTTATTACGTTCTCCGTACTCGCGAAAGCTTTATCCCGTGATTAAGTTCGAGGAAATTAGTATACCGCGAATCGAACAAGGATTCCAGCTAAACAGGATACGGTGGCAGAAAAAAAAGGTGAGACACGGAGTTGGAAAATTCGACGACCTTCGATGTCGAAATCAGTTCGCCGAAAAATCAGAGGGAATTTCCCCCCTTCAGCCCTTTTGCGGCGGCACCGGAGGCCCTCAAGTGCGCCGGACTGCCGGGATGATTCTCCGGCACAAACACATACGGTTCAGTGGATGCTGGATGCAGCAGTTTCCATCGGTATATACGCGTAGTCGGAAGCATCATATACACCCGGCGCATCCACCGCAAATTTCGTGACGCTCGTAACCAGCGATAATTCAAAAAGTGAAATATAAACAAACTTTAAAGGTATGTGATATTTTTATATAATAAATATTTAAAAATATATTTATTTCTTTTATTTATTCCGACTTGAAATTCTTCTTTTGATTTTTTTTTTATTTCTATGGGTGAAACACTAGAAATATGATACGTACATTTATAACGTGGACAGAATTGGCAAAGTAAATGGAAAATAATTATTTACGACAGTTAAAGTTAGAGCGGCGTGTAATTTAATGACTTGTGAAACTTTTTATGATTCCATTTCGAGGTCGACCTCACGCCAGGTTTTTTTTTTATCGTGGACGAATATACAGAGTGGCACAAAGGAAAGTTTTCCACAATATATAAAAAAAGAGCATCCAGGAAAGCATTTCTTAAAAGCCACTGCACTGCCCTCATAATAACAAGTCGAAGCACATTTATGTTTGTCTACAAAAAAAATATATTGAATTTTTTTTGAAGTTTTGATAAACAGATCTGAAATATTCTATAAAGTTATTTCAATATTTTTCAAAAGATTCTTCCATTAGCAAAGTTTTGTAAAGAGATATACAATTTATTTTATTATTTTGAAAAAATATATTCAATGCATATTTTAATAAGCAATGAACTTATTGATTTTTCAAATTAATTTTATATTAACTCATAAAATTTTTGTACTCGTTTATTATATTTTTTTTAATATTTAAATTTTCTTAAAAATACAATTTTCTTTTATTTCTTTTCTTTTTATTTTAAAGAAGCCAATTATAATTATTTAATAATATTATATAACTACAAATAGTTTCTACTTATATTTACTAAAAAATACTATTTTTAAAATTTGTATAATTTTATGTCTTAATATTTGCGATATATGTACTACGTTACTATACCTTCTTTTTCTTATTATAGTAAGTATGCACAGTGGATATATAATTTTTTTTTGCAAAATCTAATTGGATATTATTTCATAGAGTAAATACATTTATTCGTCAAATCAATTGGAACATAGATGTAAATAAAAAGGAATTATGTTTTTAAAGTATAATTAAATAAATTTTAAAATAAATTCGCATTAAAAATATTAACAACAATATTTTTTAATTAAATATAGCAATAATTACTAATAACATTTCAAAAATATTTTTCGTTTTTGTTTTAAATTAATAATAAATGGATGAAATAAAAAAATAATTAAGTTTTGTAATAATAAATGTAAAATCATTTCATACATACATATTATTGAGTCAATCGTAAAGTTTGTGGTATACGAATAAATTAGGACATTCGCAAAGCTAGAGTAAATTTGGAAGTGCATTTGAATATGTTGTTTATGTATAATATATTCTGCAATTTCGTTTACTTTGAATTTGCGCCACTATCTCTATGTGTAAGTGTAGAAAACATGCTGCTTTATACCAGTGTTTGGCAAGTAATCTGTACAGTGTTTGCATATAAAACGAAGGATTAACGGGGAACTTTAAGAGTTTCAAATATATTTCAGAACTTTTAGTAAACTGATTTTTGGTTAAATTACCATATTTTTTAGATTAAATTCTAATGTTTATAGGCTTTACAGTTAATATATTCAAAGTTAGGCGGAAATATTTTGGTCAATAACTTATTTTGTGTACAATAAATTTTATTTATTATTATATTAAAAGTTTATAGTAAAGAATATTTATAAATAATTTGTAAACATTCTAAAATATAAATATTAAAAAAAAAATGAAATCATGATTTTCATCAATTATTTATATGAGTTATTGATTAATATATTTATTATTTATAAATATAATTAACAAATTACTCATTAAATCCTCCTATAACAGCGGTCCCCAATCTTTTTGACCTCACGGACCACTAAACTCAAAATATGGAATCTCGAGTACCACTAGAATTATGATACCATAGCATGCAATACAATGATGCCAATGCCAATTAATAGCGTATTTGTATTATTATAGATTATTTTTGCGAGATCAAAAAGTTATCGGTACTTAAGATGCCAATTTTTATTTTTATTTATTTCATAAGAATTAAATAAATACCTGTGATTAATCATATTATTTGCATAGATGTAATTTACAGAAATATATTAGATATATTATTACTCTTAGTTTCCATATGCAATGATAAGATTAGTTTAACTTGTGCGTAAGTAAGTAGTTAAACTTATGTAATTTGATATCAGCGTAGAAGCAATATGTATGAAGTATCTTACACACAATTATCATTAAAATAATGTGTGCGGTTTATGTATTGTTATAATCCTTAACTAAGTGTAGAAACTTCAAGGACATTTCTCACAAATATAACTTGTTTCTACATTGACTAATATTTTTGTTGAAAAACTATTTTTATTTCAAATCTGATACAAATAAATAATGATAATAACTTGGAAATTTTAATAGAAAAAACAATAACTTAATAGTTAATAAAAATAATAATTTTGATTAATTGTCAAGAATTATAAACAAAAAAAACATAAAATGCATCCAACAACAATAAACAACATAATATAAATAGAAAACAAAATAACTCTAAATATAAAGAATTAACATAATGTAAATTAGAACATGTCTTATAACTTATAGCAAATGAAAAAAGAAAGAAAATAGCAGCTATTGAAACGAAAGAAGGAATTATAAGTATATTGAGATTTACAGAATTTGGAGAGAGAGAGCAAATATTTGTGTCTTTGGAAATTAATTTAAGGGATAGAATTCGGATACGTAGGGTTTTTTAGGACTGGATTTGGGCATTGTGAAAGATATTCCACTTCTTTCAAAATAATATTAAAATTGACACAAGTAAATAACTTTTTTTTAACAATGTAGAAAGTCAAATGTTTAATGTTATGTTTTTTTAGTCATTAGGAGGTTGCACTGTTTTCTAATTATATTATAATAATATAATTAAAACTGAACAAAATTCATTGTATAACAACATACAAAGTCTACTTACTACTTACGATAGTTATTTTAACTGAAATAGTTTTAATTAAATTTCATTAAAGTTCAATCAGAAAGATTATTGATAATATAATATATTTTGCATATTGTTAATAAAGGTAGGATATTTTAATATATAAAATTCATTGAAAATTAAATATTAATAATAAATCATTGCAATGTATGAAACTAAAATGCATTATTTATTTGAATTTAATAAAGTACTTCTATATTATTTTTGTTATATGCTATTTTTAATTTACATCGGTTAACAAACATAATCCGTTTGTTATTTAAGAGTTCGTTAACGGATTATCGATTTCAAATGCTGTTTAATCATCATATCTCCAAGCGTTAGCTTCCAAAATTAAAGTCATTCGATCGGTAAGGTATTTCATATCCGAACAAGTTTTTGTTGTACGGACATATAAATCTTTCGTGAACGTGTACCATGTTCGATCTGTTTGCAATCCAATCACCTCTGTGATTGCTAATTTAATATTTATATAACAGAATTTGCATGAAATACAAAATTGTGACAGTTATGTTTTGTAGTATTATATAAATTAATTTAAATATTGGATGAACTATTTAGATTATTTCGCGGAATTAAGAAGTCTCTTAGCCACATAATGCTTAACTAATTTCTGATTTCAAGTTACTACAATATATGTAATATAAATGCAAATAAAATATGTATATAACAATAAAAAACACAGGCATAATGATGAAATTAAAATAATTGAATAATTTTAGATCAGGGATATTAGCAAAATACATGTGGAATATACTATTGCATCTATTGTATGCATATTTTCGGCCGTTTTTTTTTCATTGGATTATATTTAATTTTTTATTTTATTGTGTTTTTTTTTGATATATTGCAACAGATTATTGTAAGTATATATATAAATAAAATTCGGATCATGTTGACCACCGGTCATATTATAAATAGGTATATTATTAAATGTCGGTAGTTTTAGTGTTAAATTGATTATTGATTATAAATTTAGTATTAATAAACAATTTATTGCATAGTTGATCCTATATACATACACAGCATTGTTGACCACAAGTAAAGTATTTTATTATTTTCAATAAATTCAAAAATGTATAATATATTAATTAAATTATGTACTTTATTAATCAGTAATTAAATTTTAAATACCATGTTTTTATATTCAAATAAAGTAATTTATAAAATATATTTAAATACACTAAAATAAATACAAAATAGATAATTTCAATCTTTATATATATACTTTATATAGATTTTTTTATGAAAAACTATTCAATTTTCATGTTGATGATTATTAATAAATGTTTCCACTTTATATACAACTACATTATTGATATAAAATAGATTTAAACCCTTACCGATTTTCTGTACATATATTTTTGACAAACAACTATTTTAATGTAGTATTTACATATTTTAACTACTAAAAAATACTATTTAACGTTATAAAATATACATCATATTTTTATTAATTAATTTTTTATTACCAACATTATATTATATATTTTTTGTATCTTAAGAATATAGTTTATGTTTTCTGTCATGTTTATTATGTTAATATGTTTTATGTATTTCATTATATTAGGTATTGACATAAGTTCTGTCCGCTTTTTTTTTCAAATTCAAATTCGCACCAAAAGTCAAAAAAATAGTAAAGAAAGAAAATTTTCTACTCTATGAGATATTGTATTTACTTTTACGTTACATTTATTACTTTATTGAATAATACGCTTTCAATATGGATTGACAAGTAGAAAAAGTGACACCTCCTTCTGTTCGCGTTCAATCAAGAGAATAAAGCCTCCAAATCTGTTTGCGATGTGCTATAAATATGCTCGTCAATGATTTTAAAATTATTATTTATTAACTATTAATTAATATTATTATTATTTTTTTAATAAAAAAGGAGAATACATTAGAGTCATTAATGGATTATGTATTTGTTTTAATTTTCTGTTGTTGTGTTCTTTTGTCCTTTCAAATTAAAAAAAAATAAGCATGAATTTTCATGTCATAATGTTAGTTTCTTTGAACTTTGAGGATAGAGCTAATGACCTGTGTCACATCTA